AGGGTTCTGTGAAGGGGATCTACTTTAAAAATATATTCAAAGCTAGAGCTGCACTGTTTTTTTAGCCTTTTGTTTTCAATTCTAATTGATTAATCATAGCAGTTATCCTTAATTGGATAGAAAAGTTTTTGTAACTATGTTTTTATAAAGTGCCTTATTCAATGGAATTTTTTTCCTTTCTTTTTTTCTTTTTAGGGTTTAGATTTATTTATTTATTTTTCAAAAGCAGATTTACAGAGAAGGAGAGAACAAAGAGATCTCCTACCCATTGGTTCACTCCCCAAGTGGTTGCAACAGCTGGAGAGCTGAGCCAGTCCAAAGTCAGGAGCCAGGAGCTGCTTCCATTCTCCCATATGGGTGTAGAGTCCTAAGGTTTTGGGCCACAGGCAGGGAGCTGGATGGGAAGTACAGCAGCTGGTACTCAAACTGACACCCATAAGGGATGCTGGCACTGCAGGTCCTACACTACCACTGCACTCACAATGAAATTTATTTTCTCTCCATTCTGGAGGATGAGCAGTCCAGGGTTCAGGTGCTGATGGTTGGGCTCCTAGGAGGACTGTGCTGATTTGCAGAGCTCTCTTTCTCTGCTGTGACCTTGGCATCAGAAATCATGCAAGTCAGGGCTAGGCTCTGGGGTTTCTTGACAGGAATGCTCTTGGTTTTAAGTACTTTTGGGGGGTGGGATTTTATTAGGTGCTTCTTCTTCTTGCCCTGTGCTTGATTCACCCAGAATAGTGTGTGTGTGTGTGTGTGTGTGTGTGTGTGTGTGTGTGTGTGTGTGTGAGACAATTTTTGTTATGATTACTTTCATTGACTAGATTTTGTTTACTGTTTCTTGAGAAGTTTCAGACATTGGTTTTTGAGTAGCGGTTGGTGGCAGTGTAGATCAGCTGTGCTGATTGAGGAGTCTCTGGAGTTTGTGCAAGACGCAGTTCCCTCTGTGGCTGTTGTGTGCTGTGTGCTGCAGGGTGTCGTTTGTCTCACCTCGCTAGTAATCAGCCTCTCGCATTTCCAGTGGAAGTTATTAACATCGCTTTTCTTCTAATTCTTGTTTTAGTTTTCCTTGTGTGTTTTTATACTTTTTTCCCCCTAAAGTCCTTGATAGACCTCCCAAAACGGGAAAGAAAATAGAATTTCAGGTTAGCAGAATGTCAAGGTTGTGTTGATGGAAGGAACTTTGATGATGTTGGGATGCTTCTGAGTTGGAGTGATTCTCCCAGTGCTCTTGGCTGCAAAGGACCGTGTGGAGAGCGACTGGCTGGATTACGGCTTAGATTATTTATTCTTCCAGTTAAATTCATTGATCAAAGAACCAACAACCTTGAGATATAGATTAACTTGCCCTGCTCTTAATAGAATTTATTTAATAACTGCTCAAACTGAGAAGGATACTGACATTTTAAAAGTCAAGATTGCTTAAAATAACAAACATGAAATATGTTTTGATAAATTTGGCTCAAGAATCTCAAAGCATAGAATAGAGAAGGCATAAAAAATACTTTGCAGGAAAGTGAGATTGTTAAAAATGAAACAGAAGCCATATTACTTAGAGATTGAGAGCTTGGCTTGCATTTCAGTTCGGTGGGATACACTGTGCCCATTTTCATAAGAATTATTTTTTTGACACAAAAACAATAAGGCTGTAAAACATGATCTGGAAATCCTAGAATGTTTACTCTTTAGCTCTTCACAAGAGCTCTTCACAAGTTTACTGACTCTGAGAATGGGTGACTTTTAGCCTTTTAGAGTTTTATTTGTGGTGAGGTTTCCAGCAGTATCTGAGTTTAGGTATAAGATCACTTAAACTTTGGTTAAAATCATTAGAAAATGATTGACTTGAAAAAGTTTTCAGATTCAAAATAAGTGTTTACTGTTGTCCCCACAAATAAAAGTTAAATGTTTTACAAATTTAAGGAACACTTTTCAGTGTATGCAGAAGAAGTTAAAACAAAAAAGGAATTAATATAAGTGAAAGCCCAGGCTGTTGTTCCAGTAAGTCTCATCAATGAAATGGTATCTTGAGTTTTTGGGTTAGGACTGGGACCTTCTTTTTTTTTTTTTTTTCTTTATTTTTGACAATCTTTACATAGTTGATTAGGGCACAGAGGTTCAAGGGCTACAGGAAAGTGGGTAAGACTGTTATTTCCAAATTGTTTTTCCCTGTACCTGGGGTAAAGAGGGAGATAAAGGGAGAAGCCCCACCCAGTTTTCCACCCATGCCAGGTAGGACTTTAGTTTCATCACTGAGATTAGGTGGACTTAGAGAGTTTGTGTGAGTAAATATTTGTTACAGTGGCCAGAGCTGAGCCCATCTGAAATCAGGAGCCAGGAGTGTGTTCTGGGTCTCCCATGCAGGTGCAGAATCCCAAGACTCTGGGCCATCCTTTCCTGTTTTCTTTCCCAGGCCACATGTGGGGAACTGGAAGGAAAGTGGAGCAGTTGGGATAAGAACTGGTGCCCATATGTGGTCCTGGTGTGTACAAGGCAAGGACTTCAGCACCAGGCTTCCGTGCAGGGCCCTAGGAACACAAGTTTTCAGCAGATGGTCTTTGTTGAGGTTCCTAGAGAGCCAAGTTTGGTACTCAAGGTTAAACAACAGTAGACTGTTTGAATATTGAATTTGGAGAAAGTGACAAAATGAAAACACTGTGATGAGCTGTGTTCCAGGCTGCTATATTCACTTTAATTAGTTCAGCAGATGTCGAATAAATACATTTTCCAACTGATTCAAAAAGAAGTTGAGGCAGTTGAATTAGGAGAATTACATTACACACATTTCACTTTTGTATGCAGTAAGTGTAGATGGCAGTAGACATTTGAAATTGTGCTTGCTTGGTGACTCAACATTACCAGTGAGATTGATACAATCCAGAGCAAGAAGTGGGAAAATGGTATTTCATCTGTTTTTCTTTTAAATATTCATTTACGTGTTTTTTGAGAGCCAAAAGTTGGAGGTCTTCATCTGCTGGTTCACTCCTCAAGTGGCCACAACAGCCAAGGCTGAGCCAGGTTGAAGCCAGGAGTTTCTTCTGGGTTTCCTACCTGTTTGGCAGATACGCGAGCACTTGGGCCACCCTTCACTGTTGTTCCTGTCTTTCAGCAGAGCAACAGGGCACAGACCAGGCCTATAACAATTAAGTACAGTGGAACTGGCTATATCCTTACTGTTTGTAAATTCAAGAATGTGCTTTGTAAATTTTTTGTGACTTTTTGGTTGGAAGTAATTTCCTTAACAGGTAAGTATAGGGCAGTATTCTGGAGGACATCTTGAAATCAATCTTCTTTGGAAGTTGAAAACTTAATGTTAAATGCAATTGGTAAAGAATTAGGTAGAGTCATCTATTTTTGTTTCTATCTGATGATCAGATTTAATGAAGAAATGAATTTTCTAAATCTAACAAAATGGTTATTTGCAAACCCATTGAAGTAAAGCTTGTGAAATGTACTGTGTTTTCAATATTTCTCAAAGTGGTATCTTAATTGTGGTAGATGCCACATGAAAGGAGACTGTCAGGTGGAGAACTGACTTTTCAGACTGTTAATAGTTTAGAAATCTAAGTTCTGTTTTCCTTTCCCGTTTGTAAAAGAATGCAAAGCTTACATCTTCTAGAGTATGTTCTAGTATTTGATCAAAATGCCAAGACTGGTATACAAGTGAAAAAAAGTGTGTTGTCCAGCATGGGACCGCCTGGTGCCTCTTCCAGCCCTAGTGCTGTACACAACTATATACTGTCCCTTCACATGGCTGAATGAAGGATGCCTATAAGAAAGAAAGATTTTGATCTTTAATAATGGCTTTAGTGACTTCGGTGTGCTCTAAAATGTTTATGTGTAATGTTTGAGGTGAATGTTCTGTGAATAAAAATTACCATTCAGAAGTTTAACAACTTTTACTAAAGCTATGTGATTGGAATTCAAATCAAATCTTTCTGGGGCTTGTGCAGGACTCTGACCTCCACTAATACTTATCAGTGTTGACTGCACGCAATTGTAATAACTTTAAATTGGATTACAAAAATTTGTATCACTTTTTGTCCTGTTGTCAGTCACCTTCACCATGTAACAGTCTGTTTTTTTTTTTTAAACAAGTGTTAAACAAATACAATAAATGTCAGGTTGACTAGTACTCTGTGTTATTAATAGATAAACAAGTGGGTAGTACACCGAGAGCCAAAGGTGGAATATTGATCTGGTTGAGGGAGGGAAGGCTTTTATTTACTTGGTGAAGTTTTAACTAAGATAAAGAAGTACAAGTAACTCTTAGAGAGGTCATGGTGGAAAGTATTTCAGAGAGAACCAGCCTCATGGTACAGGCACCTGTTCCTGGAAAGAGGAACTGAGATTCTGGAGAAGAAGCTGGCAAGGTGTTCAGGAGCTGGGCTGATCTTAAGCCAGGAACTTCTTTTGGGTTTCCTACATGGGTGCTGGGTGCCAGAGACTTGGGCCTTCTTCTGCCGCTTGTGGGGTAGCCAGAACACAAACTAGCATCCACATGGGATGCCAGCACCTCAAGTAGAAACTTAGCCTGTTAGACTGTTATGTAGGCTCTTACCCCTCTGCTTTTTAAGTGATTTTTTAAAAAATGATTTCGTATGAATAATGCTTCAATGGCCATTTATTTATAGACATTTATATGACTGTATGTTTTTAGCTTTCTTGGGAGATACATGGGAATGGAATCGTGATCATTTGATAACTTGTTAACAAAAATAATGCCAAACTTTTCTAAAACTGCTATACTATTTTACATCCCTATTAACCGAGTGACAGCATTCCAGTTTTCCACATTTGTTATGTTTTGATGATAAGCAAGTTAATGTGCAGTAATGCCTCCTCATATTTATGGTATATTTACCTAATGGCTAATGATGCTGGCTTTTTTTTTTAAAGTAAAATCAGCATTTGACTTCATTGAACATATAAAAATGGAATTATTTAGTCATTCATGTAATTTCTTTGAGACAATTATTTATTTGACATTTGTTCTTTTTTGTCAGTTGTATTCCCTGAATGACTATAAACCACCGATTTCTAAAGCAAAAATGACCCAAATTACAAAGGCAGCCATCAAAGCTATCAAGGTGAGTTGTAAATTTTACTCTTGTGTTTTCACTAAAAAATTGATAAAGAATGTTTTTAATAGGTATCTGCTCTTCAGTGTTAATTCAAGTTGATTGTAGAAAAAACAAAGAAACTCTGTCACATGCATATTTTGCCACAGAGGCAAATATTTCTCATAAGCTTGAAGCAGTCATTTTTCTCACCTTTTAAAAATAGATAATACAAATGTATTCATATTGTACAGATGTGTTTAACACATCATTTGTTAAATTGTCTTTGCGGAGTTTTGAAATATGAGTTGTTAAAGGTTAATTAAAGACTTATTGAATTTCTTCAAATTGATCACATTATAGATATGAAAATGGTGTGTTATGGTAAGCAGTTGAACCTCATTGTGTCTAACATACTTGAACTGTGCAACGAGGTCAGACGTTGAGCCATTTCTCTGATATAGAAGATTTTGAACCCATCCAATTCATGAGACTTCGGAAAATCTCAGGAAGACGTTGGATCGTCTCAGGAAACATACATCTGTGCAGAAGTTTGTTAAAAGTCTTAGTAAAGGCTCCTTTAACAGGCAACTGAACATACCTCCGCAGGAAATTCCAGTCTCTAGAGTTAGAGCGCTTTGCCTTAGTAGGGCTCTTAAAATGTAGAGTGAATGCTGTTTTGCAGTTGAGTAGATACTAAGCTGAGTATTGAATGTTGTCCTATTCTGAGTGAAAAAGTCACTTGAGTGGTCAGCTGTGCTGTCTCCCAAGGTGTGTATTGGCAGGAAGCTGAAATCAGGAACAGCAAAAGGAAGCAAAAAATTCAGCAAATGGGGATGATATGGGATATTGATGTGAGTCTTAAGTGATGCTTGCAATTATTTGTGTATTGATTACAGATACTTAGCTACCTCTAAAGTGCCTAAGCTTTAGTCCTGAGAAGGACGGAGCGCAGGAGCAGACTGCTCCATGGACCACGCATGGAGAATGAATCAAAGCGGCACAGCATGCCGTTGCGGCACTTGATTGGCAGAAACCTAGATTCAAATTTCTTACTTAATACATCTTCACGGTGCTTAAATTTTACAGATCACAGTAAATTCTAGTATACTGCAATGGATTTTTAACACCATGCTTTGTTTTGCTTTCTTTCAGTTCTATAAGCATGTAGTACAGAGTGTTGAGAAGTTCATTCAGAAGGTAAGGATGTGATTTTATGCTTAATTGTATCCATGTTTTAAAATCCCACTTCTGCTTGGCTCCTTTATGTCAAAATGGACTGAGTTCAGTTGTATATTCTAATTAAGACCAAAAGCCCTTTGGGTACGTCTAAAAAATTATTATGTAATTTTTTTCTTTGCAAAATTCGCGTTGCCATAGTTAACATGTGTCTCTTAGAAAATATTAGTGTCAGTATAATTGGTTTTAAAATTTGAGTCTGTTGCTTTATATAACATTTAAGGAAATTCTGATTATTTCTATCTGTATGCCTAGAAATTGGTGGTGTTAAAAAAAAAGTAGAAACTAAGAGGTGGTGTAGTTACCATATTGCCTAACAGCAGTATTTTGATTCATTGGGGTAGAGTCAATACTGCCTGTTATTATCTTTTTCCATAGAAATGGAGGAACATTAATAATTTTTTTACCTGCATCTAATGATGTTTTTGTAATTGGGACCTGAGATGACAAGATTTTCTTTATTGTCATCTTTTTTGATTAACACCTTATTGATGCCCATCTTGGGTAGAACAAAAGATTTGTACGTAGCAGAAAGATTGTACTTTGTCATAGTCATATTTAGTTTTTGTTGTGTGTGCTTGTGTTTATGTGCCGTGATAGAAGCAGGTCCAGTTTGAGAATCAGTATAAGGGACTGAGGAGTCAGCAAGTTTGCTTTCTGGTTTTGAGCAGAAATACTTGACGCCCGGCACGAGAGCGTACTTGTCTTACATGCACTGGGATCCCATATTGGCCCCGGTTCTAATCCTGCCAGCCCCACTTCCCATCCAGCTCCCTGCTTGTGGCCTGGGAAAGCAGGTGAGGTCGGCCCAAAGCCTTGGGACCCTGCACCCGCATGGAAGAGCTCCTGGCTCCTGGCTTCAGATTGGCTCAACTCCAGCCATTGTGGTCACTTAGGGAGTGAACCATAGGACGTATGATCCTCCTCTCTGTATATCCACCTTTTCAATAAAAATAAATAAATATATATAAATAAATACTTGACTGGGAGGAGGAGATAATAATGAAAGTGCCATTTTGTCACCCAGAAAGCTTGGTAACCTTGCTTCTCCAGCATCAATAAGACTGATTTGGGGATTAAGTAGTTTAACCTGAAGATCAGGCGTGGGTAAAATAACCAGTGTCTGTTTTAGATCAATTAAGCTATACAAATGCTAGTGAATGCAAAGTTTCATTTGTTTAAAGCTACATAAGCTTTTTTGGCAAGGCTGTAAGGTCAAAAGCAGTGCCTCTTAGCTCATTTTGTCCTGTTCTGTATATTCTCACAAGGGTTAAATGGCACAATAAATTCACCACTTACAGTTACCATGAAATAAAGATTATGATGTGATATTTGTGGAACTGAAGATTTACTATGTGCAGGACTTGCCCAGGGGTCTTGTTCAAATGCGCATTCACCCACTGAATGTGGGGAGAACCTCCCATTCTTCATCACTAATGTTCTTCACTGCTACATTTCTTCTGCTGTGTTTTCAGAAACCACGGTTTGAGTATCAGAGAAGTTTATGAATTAAGTTTCTTTTTTGGTGTGATTTGATTTGGGTTAGAGGAGTTTCAATTGCTCATGTATTTTTAAAATTGTTTTTGTTTTTGTTTTAAGATTTATTTACTTTTATTGGAAAGTCAGTTTTACAGAGAGGAGGAAAGACAGAAAGATCTTCCCGTCTGCTGATTCACTCCAAGTGGCAGCAAAAGCTGGAGCTGAGCCAATCTGAAGTGAGGAACCAGGAGCCTCTTCTGAGTCTCCTGCGTGGGTGCAGGGTCCCAAGGCTTTGGGCCATTCTTAACTGCTTTCCCAGGCCACAAGCAAGGAGCTGGATGGGAAGCAGGGCTGCTGAGGTTGGAACCAGTGCCCATATGGGATACTGGCTTGTGCAAGGCGAGAGCTTTAGCTGTTAGGCTACTGCGCTGGGTACAGGCTTTGAAGTTTTGATGAAGCAAATGACGTTCAAGTTTAGACTGGATAACTCATTGCATATTCAAATATCCCCCCTCCCCTCCAAAAAATCCCTACTTGAAAACATAAATCCTTTTTCCCCAGTGTTTCCCATAAAGGATGCTCCAACTGGAACTGAACTGTGGTTAGAGCCAGGACATTGATACCAGTGTTTCATTTATAGGCCAATCTGACTTAGACTTGTTTTATGCTGTCAACATGAAAGCCTGACTTAAATTTTATTAGTTTTGTGTGTACTTATTTCTGTATCTGTGCCTAGATATGTGCAATTAAAAAAAGTAGAGTCAGAACTACCATTGGTTCACTCTCCAAATGGTGTACAGCTCAAACTGCACTTGGCTAAAGCCAGGAACTCAATCAAGTGCACAGGTGGCAGTAACCGAGTTCCTAGTGCTGTGTCCTGTGGCACCCATCCTCCCTGCCCCATCCCTCTCTGCAGCAGCAGGAAGCTGAAGTCAGGAGCCACACTCTACACACAGGGACATGGCACACTGATGTTTTCCCGCAGTCCTCACTGCCAGCTTAAATCCCCACCAAGCTCAGTGTAGCTGAGTTGCATTATGGACTCATGATCCCCGTCATGGCCGAGATGCAGGAGAGTTCCTTCACCAGATTTCGTTCAACTCTCCTTCTCTTCTCAGCCTTTGTTGCCCTGGAAGTCACTAACCTGATTTCTGTCGGGATAATTTTGTATTTCAGGAATGTTAAGTAGACTGAAATAGTATATGCAACCTTTCAAGCTTGACTGCTGGCCTTGCATAATCCCCTTGAGAGCGAGTGGAGTTGTTGCGTGTTATCAAGTGGTTTCTCTTTTATTTCTGGACAGAGTTTCATTATATTGGATATATTGTAGTTTGTTTGCTTATTGGATATCATCTGGGTTATTTCTAGTTTTGAGTGATTAATAATTAAGCTGCTGGAGTATTTGTACAATGATTTTTACATGAATATATTTTTGTTTCTATAGGATAGTAAGTGCATATTATCATTCTTTCAGATAAACTGCCAATCTATTTACCAGATTGGTTATGCCATTTTACATTCCTTTCCTATACTGTAACGTGATACAAGTGAGGGAGAGTTGTAGCTGCAGTGTGTAATCTGTTGTCTGTTATTCCAAAAAGTGATGAATGATGGTAAGTCAAAGATTATTTTCCCTTTTAGAAAATTCACTTTATAAGAGAGAATATTTTGGTCGCATCCACTGTTTTGTTCTGTAAATGTCCCTGAGCAGAAGCCAGGCAGAAGCCAAAAGCCTAGAGCTTATTATTTATTTGTTTAAGGATTTATTAATTTTTATTGGAAAGTCATATTTACAGAGTGAAGGGGAGACAGAAAGAGATCTTCTGTCCAGTGATTCATTCTCCAAGTGGCTGTGACAGCCAAAGCTGAGCCTGATCTTCCATGTGGGTGCAGGATCCTAAGGCTTTGCATCATCCTTTGCTGCTTTCCCAGGCCAGTTGGAATTCGATGGGCAGTGGAGCAGCCAGGGCATGAAGTGATGCCCATATGTGATGCTGGCATGTGCAAAGCGAGGATTTTAGCTGCTAGGCTGTTGTGCCAGGCCCTAGAGCCTGGAGCTTTAACCAGGTTGTCTCATGGGTGATATGTGCCCAAGAACTTGGGCTTCTGTCCACTTACTCCCACGGTGCCGCATTTGCATTTGGCTGGATCAGAAGTAATTTATTTGAAAAATAAATGGACAAAGAGGGAGCTACAGACATGCAGAAGGAGCTTCGTTGGCTGTTCTGTTTCCACGTGCACAGAGCCAGGGTTAGGCCAGGGTGAAGCAGGAGCCACTGGAGCTCCTCAGTGGCAGTGCAGGCAGCCTTGTGAGGAGCGAGCTGTCTAGGAGCTGTGCTGTGCCATGGCGTCTGTTCAAATACTCAAGGTGTGGGAGGTTCCTGTAGAGTTTTCTTTGTGTTTAGTTCCTGTTGAAGATTTATAAATGGGCAAAGGTGATTTAAAAAATTCATGGGAGATAGGATTAGCAGCAGAGTGTCCTGGGTCTCACCTTTGGTGGCCCCCAGCAGGTCATCAGCTCTTGCCTTCCGCTCAGCTTGGTCCCAGTCTAGAGGCGTTAGAGTGTGACCCAGGGCATTGAGCCTGTTTGTCTTCCTTTTCTCCTTATCCTCTTGGATTTCTGTCTACTTCTCCCTTCCTATCAAATAAATCTTTTTAAAGTGATATGTATTTTACTGTAAAACAAAATTGAAACCCATGTATTGGATGTCCGTGAAGTTTGGGGTCTAGATTTATTTTTGATATTGAAGTTGTTACCTAAATTAGCCTGTTTCTAGACTTTATAAAGTACCTTATGTAAGGAATTCTTAGCTGGGATATATTCTTAGCTGGGATATATAATAGTTACTATGTTGCATAAAGGAAACAACTTCAAGAAACATTTGTGTATTGAGGAAAATATGTAAGATATCCCAAGATTTCTTTTTTATCATTCTTTGATGGAATCTCTAAATTGTAAAAGTATTACATTATCAACTAATATTGGTTGCTATTTACAAAACCCGAAGGCAGCTAGGTAAGGATCATTATCCCTCTATTTATTGAACTAGTCTGATTGGAGAACACTGGGTAATGTATTGATTTATATTCTGAGTTTTTTTCTCATTACTCTATGTGGAATAGTGAGGGTGCAATGGAATTTAGAAGTAAAGTAAACTGATCAAGAACTCAGTGATTTCCTAAATAATCTTTAAATACAAAAGTGAATTTACTTGGTTGTTGTAACATTCTTCCATATGAATTGCACAGTAATACTGAAACCTGTTTAAGTTCTTTGGGAGAAGGTGTAGTTCAGATGGTCATTTCTTTTGCAGGTTAAATTTTAGAATTGTTAATGAAGGTTTATGAATAGGCATCAGAGGATTGGGGATCTTCTGGAAAATCTGTACAGTGTATCTCTTTTTTTCTTTTCTTGAGATTTTGTTTTTATTTAAAAAGAGTTCTATAAAGGAGAGATACTAAGGGTGGTCTTCCATCTGTTGGTTCACTCTGTAAATGGGAACAACAGCCAGAGATGGGCCAATTCAATACCAGGAGCCAGGAGCTTCTTCCACATCTCCTCCATGCATGCAGGGACCCAAGCACTTGTCCCAGGCCATAAACAGTACTAAATTGAATGTGGAGCAGCCAGGACTTGAACCGGCAGCCATACAGGATGCTGGTGCTGTAGCATGAATTGTATAAGGTATCTTTCTTATTCTATAACCCATCTTAAAAGGCTATTTCCTTGTAGCAGAAGAAATTGAAGAAATTGGAAGTTATTAGAATATAGTTTAAAAAGAATATTTGTGAAGATTTAGCCTAACAAGTTTTAAAAAATTATTGAGAATAAAAATGGCTCGTAGTGTTGGAGAGTCTCAGGAATTCTTGTTCTCATCTCATACCTAAAGTGGAAACTGAAAAACAACGTAGATTAATCCTCATTCTTCTCTCAAGTTTCTAGATGGGGACTTAACCAAGTTTTCTAATGTTACATTATTTGAAATAGTAGATTCTGCTTAAATAGTGTTTTGCCATTCTGTTTGGCAGAAATGCCTGATCTGTCCGTGTAGGGATTGCTGTAGTTCTTCGTTGCGGTGAACTAATCCTGAAGTTCTGGAGGAAGAAAGGCTTTCCTCTGCCCTTCTGGCTTGCCACTGCAGCTGCTCTGGGGGCTTCCAGTCCTCACAGTAGATCAGAAAGGCAAATGTGTGTGCTTCACACGAGTAGTAATTGTGTTTTGGAACTTTGTAGCTTATTGATTTTGTCCTGAAAATTAAAGAAAAAAATGTATCCCAAAATGCCAGTACATGAATTACTTGTATTGTTTGCATTAATTACATAACTTTATCACTGTATTTTGGTTATTAATTTTTAAAGCTCTTTCAGCAACTTGTAAATTCTGTTCAGCCTTACTGTGAAGATAATACTTGTCCTGCTCTTCAGATAATGCATTATGTAAGATTATATCCAGATTTAAGGGAAATTAAAGTGATAGCAAGTCAATAATTATTAAACACCTGCATTTGTAACACTGGGGGATATGTTTTTATTTTTATTTATTTAACAAAGTAGGCGTCCTGATTTTCATTAAGTTTGAAAAGTTGGTTTTTTTTTTCTTACTGGAATGTATTGTTTGCCTGGCTAACTAGTAATTTTCTTTGAATGCATGGTAATCAAAGGAATATAGTATTAGTTGGATATATGAACTGAAGGACAGATGTACCAAGTATTTTGGAACTTGAAGGAAAGCAGTTTTTGAAACAGTAATTTTAAACAGATTATTTGGATTTCTCAGTTAAGTTAGACCTGAAATGGTCTAAAAATTTTTTTGTCTAAAAATAACGTTACTGCCTTTCCTTGAAATACTTCAACTATAGATATAGCCAGAGTCTTCGGATACATTTTTGTAAATAAATATTAAAGTCCTGTTAAAATGTTTGATTTAAAGAAAAGTTAAAGACCTGTCTCATCATCTAGTGTTGTTGCCAAATGAAATCCTCCTGGTATTGGCTGAGAAATCCTCCTCAGAAATACAGTTTATAGAAGAGGGCATTGGGTCGAAGGGTTTTGTTTTGTTTTGTTTTGTTTTGTTTTGTTTTGTTTGTTTTGTTTTGTTTTGTTTTGGCTCATACTCATTTCTGGATTTCCAACAAGAGTTTCTCAGCACTGCTTTTGCTTTAGTGTAAATATGAGTACCAGCAGATTCTGTTTCATAATGCATTTAACTTAATTGTATCCAAAAGTAGAACCTGCTGTGCAGGTATAATTTTATTTTCTTCAGCATGTGTGTGGTGAAAAGGTTGTCTCATATTTTGTCGTATGAGGATACAACAGGAACTTTTAAAAGATACCATATTTATTTGAAAAGCAGAGTTGGAGAAAGATTTTCCATCTACTCCCTAAATACCAGAACCCGGCCATTTCAGAGCTAGAGTAGCAGCTGCTGCTGCTGCTTCTTCTTTTTTTTTTTTAAAGATTTATTTATTTTTATTACAAAGTCAGATATACAGAGACGAGGAGACACAGAGAGGAAGCTCTTCCATCTGCTGATTCACTCCCCAAGTGACCGCAATGGCCAGTGCTGTGCCGATCCGAAGCTGAGACCCAGGAACCTCTTCCGGGTCTCCCACACAGGTGCAGGGTTGAGCCATACTCAATTGCTTTCCCAGGCCACAAGCAGGGAGCTGAATGGGAAGTGGAGCTGCAGGGATTAGAACTGGCTCCCATGTGGGATCCCGGTGCATTCATGGCGAAGACTTTAATCCACTAGGCCGCTGTGCCGGGCCATAGAGTAGCTTCTTACAGGTTTCCCATGGGGGTGTAGGACACCTGGGACTTGGGCCATCTTTTGCTGTTATCAAAGACAGATTAGCAGGGATCTGGATTGGAAGAAGACCAGCTGCAGCAAAATTGGCCACCACATGGAGTGCTGACACCACAATCAACTGCTTTACCCCCTACAGAACAGCACTGGCCCCCAAACAGGAGCATTAAACTTGATGTAAAATGATTCTTCATTGTGTTCATTTAATGCCCATGGTAAGAGAACACAAGGGTTTTGAGATAGGTGATAAACAATATAGTTGAAAAACATTGACCCAGTGGAGAAGCTGAAACATGTTTACACAGGGAAGGTTCCCAGAATTAATGCTGCTGCTGTCTGATCACTTTCATAGATGCAATATTTGGGCTTAGTGTATTTAGAATGTTACAATTTGCCATTGGTATTTGTTCTTTCATTATTGCAGAAACTCTTTTGTTACGTGTTTAAGATGAAGTCTAATGCATGTTGGCTATGCATTTCTTAAAGCCCATTTTTCCTGAATTTGCTCCTTGCTTTTCCAGGTAGCTTTTCAAATCATTAAAAACTTTCTTATTCTTCTTTTTCTTCTTATTATTATTCTGTTTTTGGTTATTAAAGCCAGTAACATTTTAGAAATACTGTGTTTAAAGCACAGTAATATTTTAGAACTTAGATGATTGGCAGTCGAACTGAATACATAGAGTAGCCAAAAGAGATTGCTTTACAATACCATCCTATAAATCAGTGGTCAGGAGTAGTCGATTTATGAATATTCAGTATTCACTGTCAATAAATGCAGTGTTTTTTCTATTTGTATAGAGGTTATCGTGATGTTTTTCTACCAGAAATTTTACCTTTCCTTTTTCTTCCCTTCTCTCTTTGTTTTCCCCATTAGTGTAAGCCAGAATACAAGGTACCTGGACTTTATGTTATCGACTCCATTGTACGACAATCTCGACATCAGTTTGGTCAAGAAAAGGATGTGTTTGCGCCCAGATTTAGTAATAACATAATTAGCACTTTTCAGAATTTATATCGTTGTCCCGGTGATGATAAGGTATGTTGCTCCTTTTTTTTGTTTTTAAAGAGATACATTGTATTCTTTACTTAATCGGTTTTTAGAATTTCCTGGTTGACGGATTTTTTATTTAATCACTCCAATTATGAAATATCCAGTTATTGTGATAAATTGAAGTAATTGGTGTTAAATAAACTTGGTACCAAAATCAAAGGAACTTAGTACAACAAGCTTTCCTTCTATTCTACATTCCTTTGTTGACACGTCCAAGCAGTTCAGGATTCTGAATATTTGAGTTGAGTTGATGCTTAGCCTTTGCAGCAGTTTTGAAAAACCAGTTCTCTGAGCAATTAGTAGAAAATGACTACAAATCAAAATTCTTTTGTTGGTTGGATGTTTTTTAATGCTGGAAGCCATACTTGTCGATCTGGTAGATATGAACGTACAACTGTGTTTATAGCAAGTTATTGGACAGCTTTGTATTCCGGAGGAGCACAAGGAGAGCTTGCTTATCTTTGTTTTACCTTGATAGATTAGATTAGTTAATTTTCAGTACTGATTGGAGCTTCAGGTGTGCTCTTTTGACAGGATTCAAGTGAATTAAATAGGAGAAAAGGTAAGAACAGGTGAAAACTAATGGATGCTTTAAGGATGAACTGTAACTGCTCATAAGTCTTTCATCTCAGGTACAAGATTTGAAAGTTTCCTTTTCAGTCAAAGTATAAGTCAGGACATGTTGCATGACAATAGGTTTGGAGAGACATTTATTAGTGTGTTGTTCTAATATTTAGTTAGTTGAAAGGCAGAGTAACAGAGGGAGAGATCCGTCCCCTACTGCATTGTTTTATTCCTCAAATGGCCACAGTGGGTGGGGCTCTGTCAGGCCAAAGCCAGAGCCTGAAGCTTCTTCCAGTCTAGTGTGTGTGGGTGCAGGGCCTAAGAACTACAGCCAACATCTGCTGTTTTCCCAGGTGCATTGCTAGGGAGCTGCATTGGAATTGGAGCAATTAGGACTGCAACCAGCACCCATACTGGAGCCAGCACTGCCAGTGGCTGCTTAACCCATGATTGTACTGCACTGGCCCCTTGGGTCTACATTTTAATTTCTGTTTTTAAAATTCATTTGAAAGAGAAAGGGATCTGGTATCTACTGGTGTACTCCCCAGGTGCTCACCACTTCCAGGGATTAGACTAGATATAGAGCCAAGATGGGGAATCAAACACTATCACCCACATGAGAACAGGAGCCCAGTGCTGTAGCCATCATCTGTTACCTGCTAGGGTGTGCATTAGGAGGAAGCTGGGCTCAGAAGTGGAGCTGGCTGTGGAGTCCAGGCGCTTTGGGCTGAGATGCAAGCATCCTAAGCAGTGTCTTTAAGAACCCTTCCAACACTCCCTAATTTGGGAGACAAAGTTTTCATATTTTTTTTGCTTTTCGTTACTGTGGTACTTTGATAATTTTGTGCAAATCAGAATTATTTCTAATTTCAGGTGATCTACTCCAATAGATTCCTTTTTTAAAAATTGATTTATTTGAAAGACAGTGCAGAGACAGAAAATGATAATGTTCCGTCTGCTAATTCACTCTCCAAATGCGCACAGTGCTGGGTCTGGGCCATGTCAAAACGGGGAGCCTAGCATTTCTTCTAGGTCTTCCACATGGGCTCCCAAGCACGTGCCTGAGATATGCTGCTTTCTCAGGTGCACGAACAGGGCACTGGTTTGGAAGTGGAGCAGCCAAGACTCAAACTGGCATCAATATGGGAAACCAAAGTTGCTGCTGAAGGCTCAGCTGTAACAAGGCCTTCTGATTGATTCTTAACTAATTGGAAATGTTACATATACCTTTTTAAACATTAATGTACAAATTTTATTATTTGAGGATGGTTTCCTATCAGTTGCAATGAACAGAGTATTATATTTGCATATTTTGTAATATTATGGCTCATAATTTTACATAAATGTAGGAGGAAATATTAATACTGTTAGCTCAGTTGTGACTAAGGGACATCGTGTTTTGTGTGTAGATTTATATTGGTTGGTGATTTTTATGTACTTATTGAAATACATGATGACTCTTGGGAACTTAAAGCAAAAAAAATAAAAGCACTTTGTTCATAGGAAAAGAAATTGTAAGGCACAAAGTGTTTTGTGTACTAGTTTTTTATTTTAAACATAAAGATTCCTATGTTAATATAATTTGAACATAGCTTAAAATATTTTGAAATGTTGAGATTTTAAAATGAACCATGTGTTTATTAGGGAAATTGCTGTTTGCTGTTATAAAATGTGCATGTTTAATAGAATTCTAATTTTATGCCTAATTTTAGCCTTTGTCATTTAAATTTCCCTTGAATGGTATAAATAGCGTAACAGTAGTTAGTATAGCATTTTTCCTTTGTGCTAAACATTTGTGAATCACATTGTTCTGTGATGACATCAAGGAAGTAGTTATTATGTAGATGTTCTTTTCCCAGTGACAGTAGAGATTTAGGCTTCTGTTATCCTGACTTAGAATATACCCTAGGCAAGATGGGTCTGTCAGTGTTTGTTTGAAAAGCTATAGACTATCTGCGGGTATTTGTTGTTGGGCATAGTTTTCTGCTTTTATGTCTAAAGTATTGAGACTTTATTAGCCTTTCATACAGGCAATGAAACATTTAAGTGGGAATTTTCTTAGTTTTCAGGTTCTTTCTGAATATTCCTTTGTTACTAGATTGCGGAATTAGCGAAGAAACCAGAAAACAGTAATACCTTGTGTGTTTGTAATACCTGGAATGTCACAGGAAAGACAGGCAAATATTCCATTGGCTGTGATTTCACAGCCAAACAGAATTTCTCATAAAAAGATTTTAGGAGCAAAATATGGGCACAAATAATTAAATAGAAATGCTTACTAATGTAGCTGTGAAGAACTGTAAGAGCCAGCACTGTGGGGTAGCAAGTAAGCCGCTGACTGTGGTGCTAGCATCCCGAATGGGTGGGTCAAGTGCCCGGTAATGTGCCGTGAAAGCAGTGGAAGATGGCTCATATCCTAGACCCCTACACCATGGAAAAGCTCCTGGCTCTTGGTTTTGGACTGACTTAACCCCAGCCATTGTGGCCATTGGGAAATGAATCAATAGAGGGAGATTTCTCTCAAATCTTTGTCTCCCCTCCCCCAACGGTGCATTTCATATAAATAAGTCAATTTTTTAGACAGATTACTTTTATTGGCAAGTCAGATATACAAAGAGGAGGAGAGCCACAAAGGAAGATCTTCCGTCCACTGATTTCACTCACCAAGTGGCTGTGATGGCTGGAGCTGAGCCAGCCAGGAGCCAGGAGCCTATGCGTGGCCAGGAGCCAAAACTTTGAGCCGTCCTTCACTGCTTTTCCAATCCCATAAGCAGGGTACAGGTTTGAAAGTGGGGCTGCCAGAGTTAGAACCAGTGCCTATATGAGATCCCGGCGCATGCCAAGTTAGAATTTTAGCCACTAGGCTACTGCACTGAGACAAATAAACCACTACTTTAAGAAGTGAGATGGAAAAAAATATAAAAGGGAGATAGAATTCTGTCTCAAGCTACTCAAGGTTTGATACTGGTTAAAGCGTCAAAACTAGGGGGATGAGGTGGTACAGCAATTTAAGCCACAGCACATAACAGCAATATTCCACATGGGTGCTGGTTCAAGTCCCAGCTGCTCCTCTTGTGGTCTAGCTTCCTGCTAATGAGCTGGGGTAAATAGAGGCAGATGGCCTAAGTGTGTGGGCCTCTACTACACATGTGAGGGGGCGTGATGAAGCTCCTATCTCTTGGCCTTAACATGGATCAGAACTGACTCTTGGGGCCACATAGGAGTGAACATGTGTACTCTCTTTGCTTCCTAACTCTGCTTTTCAAATAAAAGCATAAGCATTCGTAACAAACTCAAAGGAAACAGATACTGAAACAGTTTGAGAAAAGGGATCTGAGCTACCTTATTGGGGTTGAGGCTGTGGTGTAGCAGGTGAGCCACTGCCTTTAACACCAGGATCCCATAGGAATGTCAGCTGGAGATCCAGCTGCTCTACTTCTGATATAATTTCACTAATGTGCCTGTAGTAGCAATGGGAGATAGCCCAACTGCTTTGGCCCCTTCACCCGTATGGGGAATTGACAAGAAGTGCCCGATTCCTAACCATTTGGGGAGTGAAACACAGATGGAAGATGTCCTTGTGTCTGTGTAAATAAATAGAAATCTTTAAAATAGCCTCTTCAGTGTACTAATGAGAAAACTGAGGATAATTTTTTACTTATTTACATATTGGCCTAAGTTCACACTCAGAAAGATTTTTCAACTGGTATGTATATAACCCATGAGTTTTATAGCAATTTTGTAATTACTAAATGACTAGAATTTTACCAGAAATGTGAAATATTCTGGATGCTTAAGTCATCTTGAAAATGATTGCAAGCAAAGTAAAAAATTGACTTGCATGATGGTTCTGAGAGTTGTGGTTAGCAATGCCGATGCCTAACGGGGTAGGGGCGAGTTTATTGTGTGCTGCAGGTGAGGGCCTTCTTAGGAGCAGAGAAAGGACCAGCGTGCTTAAGAGGTGGCAGGTCTTCTTGCAAGCAAAGTTTTCTGGTTTTATTTTTTTCCTTTCAGAATGTAAAGGACTCAAATTACTGTATAACATGGAGCATTATTTGTGTAAATTGTATATTTAACATTTTGAGAGCCAGGTTAAATTATTTCATTATGGCAGTGACATTGTATATGGCAGAAAGACTGAAAAGAAAGGGGAAGGGATGGATTGTTTGTGGTACTTAAGAAAGTTTGTGGAAAGACGAAATTAAAAGAACATACATTTGCATGAACTTTTTAAAACAGATTTTATTGTTATTGGAAAATTGGATTTATAGAGACAAGATACAGAGAAAGCTCTTCTGTCCAATGATCTACTCCCCAAGCGGCTGCAGTGGCTGGAGCTGAGCTAATCCAAAGCCAGCAGCCAGGAGTTTCTTCAGGGTCTCCCACGCAGGTGCAGGCTCCCCAGGCTTTGGGTTGTCCTTTACTACTTACCCAGGACACAAGCAGGGAGCTGGATGGGAAGTGGAGCAGCAGGACATGAACCAGCGCCCATATAGGATCGTGGTGCATGCAAGGCGAGGACTTCTAACCACGAGGCTACCACATCTTGCTCAGCCTTGTTTTTCTTTTAATTTTTAAAGATTTATCATTTTCCTTGAATGTAAGAGTTACAGAACTTTCCAATAATAAATAAATAAATCTCTAAAAAAAGATAGAGAGGGAGAAACAGAGATTATCTGTCTTCTTGTTACTCCTCAAATGTCTGCAACAGCCAGTGCTACGCTGGTCTGAAGCTGGGAGCCACGAGCCTCCTGGAGTATGTAGGGGCCCAAATACTTCAGCTTGTTTTGCTTTCCTGGGCCAATTAGCAGGGTACTGACTTGGAAGTGGAATAGCTGGGACTCCAACCAGTGCCCACATGGGATGCCTACTATGCTGCCAAGGTGGGCCCTGCCATGAACTTTTGCAGTATAGTATTTCAAATTTTGTCTATAAAGAAGTTTTTGTGTCCCTAGCACGTATGGTAAAATATTTAGAAAGGAATTAATTTTATTAATATCTTACTACTATCCACATTTAGTTTAAAAAGTGAATTTCAAAGACTCACACTAACTAAGGGCTTTGTCATATGGTTATTTTATTATCAACAAAACCTATGTGAACAAACTTTACATTGATCTGAACTACAGCTTGTTTTGGATACTAAGATGAAACGTGTGCCTCAGAATCCTTTAGCTTGTTCTGCCAACTGTACCCTCCATCTCATTAGAATTGATGTTGAAGATGAAAGCTAGATATCAAAGTTGGATTCAACATATCAGAATAGGATATATTTTCAAGTAAGTTAAAGGCAACAAATATGAAATGGTAGAAAATGTGAAATTTCAGTGATGAAATTCAGTACTTAGAAGTATTTAAATGTCCCTTTGCTATTCAGTGACCAGTCACTTGTAATTCCTATGTTATGAAATTATTAAAATACCATTTTTCTTTTTACCTCTAGAGTAAAATAGTGAGAGTATTAAACTTATGGCAGAAGAACAATGTATTTAAAAGTGAGATTATTCAGCCCCTTTTGGATATGGCAGCAGGGATTCCTCCCCCTGTTGCCACTCCAGTGCTGGCCAGTACTACTGCTGCGATGAGCAATACGCCAGGTATGTCACTTTGTGTGGGGTTGTTGTATAATTGTTCCCAGATAAAACAGTAGTTGGATAATGCCAGGAAATTTGCCCAGCATTAGGTAAATGAAAGAATATATTTTGAAGGAAGGAAATATATATTTGGATACTACATTGGTGTGTAATTAAGAAACAAACATAATGAACCTTGGAAAAGAGTATTATCGCAGGTTGTGGTTTCCTTGAAGTAAGCTGACCTTTCAAACTTGCATATGAAATCAATCTTAGTTGTCAATAGAAAAATATAATATTTATGAAGAACTCTGAAAAAATTAACACTTTAATGCTTAAAGTAGTAAGTGAAACATAGTTTATAATATTTTCCTCAAAAATCATATTTGAAATGTGTTATTGAGTTTCTTATAAAGTTTTTCCAGGTGTTTAGACTTTGCTGAGTATACAGACTGCTAAGTATTATATACTCTGTGGATAGATTTATGGTTTGTTTTTTTTGAGAGCTCCTTTGTGTTTTTATGCTACCTAAAATTACCAAGGATTTTTAATGATTTTTCACAATGGAGTCAACAGAATAAAACATTTATGTAAATTTTTCTCTTATCTTATGAAAATAATAGGACATATTTGTCTTTTTTCGAGCCTCATTTCTTTACATATTGATTTAGATTGGTGGGTGGGCATGCGTCTCTTCGCAGGAACTCCAGTGACACCTGTGACTCCAGCCACTGTGGTCCCAGGCTTACCTGACCCATGGGTATCTCAGATAACAAACACTGATACACTGGCGGCCGTTGCACAGATCTTACAGAGTCCTCAAGGCCAGCAGGTGAGTTACTCTGGTTTGTTGAAAATAATTTACAATTTGTTATTTTCCTAATGAATTGCTTCATACATACTATGAGATATGTATTGATAGTGCATCACTACTCTGTACCTTGAACTTTTAATTTGTGAATGCATTTTGAGTACCTTAATATATCATTGAATATTATTTTATAAATAATATAAAATTAATAATAAATAATATTTTATTGTTTTATATTCTGTGGCAGAATATCATCAAGCACTTCGTTTTTTAAACAGCTTTATTCATTTAATTGGAACAGTTACCATGAAGGTCTGGCATTATGGGCTAGTGGCTAAATCCTCACTTTGCATACGCTGGGATCCCATATGGACACTGGTCTGTGTCCCAGCTGCTCCACTTCCCATCCAGCTCCCTGCTTGTGGCCTGGGAAAGCAGTTGAAGGACACCTCTTCCTTGAAGGAGACAAATAGACATTTAGAGTGACACTTGACTTTACAAATATTTAGAGTGACAAAAGTTTTGAGAGGCAGGTCAGAATTAAAGATAAAAAAAATATATGTATGTATTTAAACATTTTGTGGGTTTTTTGTTTGTTTTGTTTTGTGTCATGTTTTTATTTGTAAGGCCAGTTTATAGAGGGAAGAGAAGGCTGAGATGGAAAGAGCTTCCATTAGCTTATTCACTCCTCAGATAGCCACAGCAGCTCAAACTTAGCTGATCCAATCCAAAACCATAAATCAGAATGGCCACGGATTTGAGCTGTTCTCTGTTACTTTCCCATTCAATAAGCCGGGGGCTGAATTGGAAGTGGAGTAGCTGGGTCTAGAACTGGATCTATCTGGAATGGTGGCGTTTTATTATAGAGGATTACCTGTTGAGCTACCATGTCAAACCTCCCCACCACCACCACTAGGATGAATTGTTTTTGAAATGGCATTTTAATTGTGAGTTGAAATGGAACTCGTCATGGCCGAAAGGGAAGTAGAGTTGCATGTGTAGACAAGTGAGGTTGCAGGCAGCATGGCATGTTGTCAGAAAGCTGCTCTGGACGTGTGGTACTTAAGATAGTCACTGAGGTACCAGGTCTCACATGCATGCTCGTTTGAGTCCAGGAGTGCCGCTTCAGAAGCAGCCTTCCTGCCAGCGGCGTGTGAAAAGCACAGAAGAGGCCTAAGGGTTTGGGCCTCTGCCACCTGCATAGGCAACTGGATGCTGCGATTGGCTTCCAGTTTCTGCCTGACCATTGTGGCCATCTGATGGGTGAACAGGAGCTTGAAAGATCTTTGTGTTTTCTTTCTCTATCTCTGTAACTTTAAGATCAGTCAGTATATTAATCTGTCCTTAAAAAAATGAAAGAGAAGGCTTTCCTGTTTTGGGCTCCGTAGTGTGAGGAAATCACACTGTGTGTGAATGAGTTTGAAGGATGGGAAAGATTCATGACTCCCCGACACCAGGTTATTCTGTTTTACTTTACATGTTTTTATTGTTCAGGCCTTTTATAGTCTTTGCTTCGGCTTCCTAGTTTTAAGCTGTAACTTTTCACATACTGTGTGTGTATTTCTATGTGAACATTTGAAAAGTAGTCAGTGCCAGTTTAGCTTCTCCTAGCTTTTGATTGCTCAGGGCTTGAGGCAGGCTGTGTTCAGGTGCACCGAGAGCCATGCGGGCTCCCCGGCTGCGTCACCGTGCCCGGCCGCGTCACCGTGCCCGGCTGCGTCACTGCGCCTGGCCGCGGGACATGCTGTGCCAGGAGTGCAGGCCATTTCCCTGGGAGACAGCGTTCTTAATTACAGTTTTCTGCAGGAGGTGACTTAGCTTTTCTTCTGTTAACCAGGGGACATGCTATTACACTCTCACACACATGAACAACCATGCTTCTCTGAGTCAGTGCATTTAAATATTCTATAATTTTTGTTTTGCATTGAAATGCAGAGTTTTCTGCAATCAGTTGCTCTTTGCAGTTATGCAGAAAGATGGGCTTCTGTTTCCTCACATTTCTTCTCTGCTTTAAATTTAGAATTACTGGGCCCAGCATGGTAGCCTAGTGGCTAAAGTCCTCGCCTTGTACGTGCCCGGATCCCATGTGGATGACAGTTTGTATCCTGGCCTCTCCATTTCCCATCCAGCTCTCTGCCTGTGGCCCGAAAAGCAGCAGATGATGGCCCAGGGCCTTTGGAGCCTGCATCCACTAGGGAGACACAGAGGAGGCGCCAGGATTCTGGCTTTGGACTGACTCAGCTCCAGCTGTTGTGGCCACCTGGGGAATGAACCAGCAGATGGAAGATCTTTCTCTCTAAATTTTCTTTTCCAATAAAAATGAATGAAATATTTTTAAAAATTTAGTATTATTTTCATGAGTTTGGTTTAGCAATGCTGACCTTTTTCTGTGTTCTCTTGGATATAACCTAGAAGTTTTCTGCCTGTGGAAGGCTTGAGTGAACCTTGTCAAAATGGCCTTCACGTCTTAGCGTGGGGTAGGAAGGTCTTGTTTGTTTTTATCTTTTTATTTTTATAGGATTTATTTATTTTTAATGAAAAGTCAGATATACAGAGAGGAGGAAAAACAGAGAGGAAGATCTTCCTTCCGATGATTCACTCCCCAAGTGACCGCAATGGCTGGTGCTGTGCCAGGAGCCAGGAGCTTCCTTCCGGGTCTCCCACACAGGTGCAGGGTCCCAAGGTTTTGGGCTGTCCCAGGCCACAAGCAAGGAGCTGGATGGGAAGTGGGGCCACCGGGACTAGAACTGGCTCCCATGTGGGATCCTGGCACGTTCAAGGTGAGGACTTCAGCCACTAGGCCACGTTGCCAGGCCCTTGTTTGTTTTTAAAGTAGCATTTTGAACTTTACCTATCATTTTTTGTGTTCTTTTAACTTTTCTGAATAGGCCTTAGTAATAGATGTTATGATTTTTAAAAGGTTTTTTTTTTTTCCATTGTTGTACATTATTTTCTAAAAATCTAGCATAGAAATCTGATTGCATGTTGTAGTTTTTTTTAAGGTTATGTTTACTGGAATTAATTATTTTCTAATATTGTCCTAGTCCCATTTAATTTTCAGAATATTGGTGATATTGTGTAGATAACATTTGGCTTTTCTTCCTTAGAAATTAATTGGCCAATTTTATTTCTCTAAAGGTTCTTTGTTTTTAAAGGACAGGTGAAAATGTTGCTAAGCCTGAGCATTGTCAACTAAGAGACTTCTCAGAGTAGAAGATACATCCACTGAGTCTTCAAGTTAATGGAAATACCATCTTTGAGTTATCCTTGATTCCTTTTTCTTCTCTCTTTCATCCCCCTTTTTTACTGGTTTGCTTTCATGTGACCGAGCTACAGAGGGGGACACAGACGGAGGTCGGTGTCGGCTGTCCGCTTGTGCTTACCTGCTGATCTTGGGTTTCTGGGGTTCCTAAGTACAGTAGCTTGTCATATTTTTGTATTTCCTTTGTTCTCACATTAATAGTTTTATGAGAAATGTTTCTTTTTTTCTAAAAGGAACTAGCAAATGAAGATATTTTAAGTACCAGTTGTTTTGCTATTTTTTATTTTTTGCTATTTTGATTTTTCTAATCTGAGGTAACTGATCAGATTGAATTCACGCTTAAGACTTTGATTTTGCTTGATTTCTTTCAGAATGTGTTCATCGGTTTCTTGTCCATGGGCTCTTCAAGGCCTTGCTGTTTGAGAGATGGGGGACAGTGGCAGCAGAGCTTGCTTCCAGCTCGAATTTCCCTGTGCCTTATTACTCATTCTTTACTCCAATAAAAGCATCTCCTTGATTTACTGTTTCAGGAAAACTGTGTTCTTGATTGGTCAGTGTCAGCACTCACTAGGAAATGCTGGTGCTATCCTCAGGCAGGTGAAGCAAACCAGGTGCTTTGTTTGTGACGAATTCTTTACCTTATTGTCGTGGTCTGACCTCTTCATGTTGTTTGAAATACTCCAGCGTTCCAGAAACATGATACCTTACTTAGGACAGCCTTGTCCTTCATATATATGGCCCACACTACCTGAAAACTTTTAACGGTTGCTTTGTATTAATGTGTATTTTATTCTTGATTTCTAGGAACTCGAGGTGGAGACTTTTATGAACAAAACTCATCTGTGTTTTGTACCTTCTCCCTCCAGCTTCAACAGTTAATACAGACGTTACAGATACAGCAGCAGAAGCCACAGCCTTCGATCCTGCAGGCCCTGGATGCTGGTCTTGTTGTTCAGTTGCAGGCTCTCACAGCACAGCTCACTGCTGCAGCCGCAGCAGCCAACACACTGACCCCTTTGGAGCAGGGAGTCTCTTTCAACAAGGTAGAAATCGAAATAAGAATTCCATGTGGAATATTAAGTTGGTGAACTCATATCCTAGAAGTAACTTTTTGTTATATGTTTTATATATGTTGTATATGTTAATTACAGGAATATTATAACTCATTAGCAGTTCTTAGAGTTTTAAATGTTTCTGGTTTTTTGGTAAGAAAAATAAAAAGAAATATTGATTTATTGTATCATTACTTAGACTTTTTTACCAACAGCTTCAGACATTTAATGTAGCTTTATATGACTAGAATACCTAAAACAAAAGACAAACAATAACAAGATTTTCAAACTGAGCATCCAAAGCCTAGTACTGCATTTTAGCATTCATTTATTTCCATTTGTAAAGCAGATTTTACAGGGAGTGAATGTGGAGGTGTTCTATCACTGCTTCATTCTCCAGTTGGCTACAATAGCCAGAGCTGTTACCTTGTTGGGCCAGTGCACTAACTTTAAGTAGAACTTTTTTGTTTTGCTTTGTTTTTTCTGTATTTATGTTTTGTATTTGAAGGGTAATTACAAAGGGCTGAAGGGGTGATCATCCGTTGAGTCACTCCTCAAATGGCCAGATGAGCTCTAGTGCTGGTCCAGGCCAATGCCGGTAGTGTCATCTTGGTCTCACACTGGTACAGGTGCCCATGCCTTTGGAGAATCCTCAGCTGCCTTTCTAGGCACATTGGCAGGGGACTGGATTAGAAATAAAACCAGACATAAACTGTTGCCCATGTTTGGGCTGGCACTGTGTACTGAATAGGACAGCTGCTTTTACCTGTAGTCACCAGCCCAAGTCCCACTGCTGCACTTGAGAGGCAGCTCCCTGCTGATACTCCGGGGTGACCCAAGCCTAGCACTGGCTGTTGGGGTTATTTTGGAGTGAATCAGTGGGTGAAAGTTAGAGATCTCTATCTATACCCACTCCTCGCTGTTTGTGACTCTTCCTTCAAAAAAAAAAAAAAGGAAAAACAATAGAAACAGGTTGGGATGCTGGCCGTTCAAACTGCATCTTAATCTACTTTGGCCCAAAGAGTAGAGCATTCCAAGAGCAGACTAGGAATTAGATCCATTGATGTTTTACCTAGCTGTATTAGCATGTTTATTATGCATCTCTGATTTTATTGTGTGAAGTAATTCAGTAATCAACGTAATCCCCAGGATATACATTCTGAAACTTCCAAGTGAATACCAAAAGACAAATTTCGTAGAATGTGGAACTCAAATAAGTTTTTTGATACATACATACCTGTGGTAATGTTTAATTTATATTTTCAGACCACAGTTGAACAGAGATAACTGAAACTGTAGAATTTGAAATGGGTAAGGGGGGACTTCTGTGTATGTCAGAATGCTTTAAGCAAAAGTAAGGACCCCTTAAAATTCCAGTGTATTATAAAATCATATAAAGCATATATAACGGTAGAAATTAACAGGACATCATTGACACATAGAATTTGTAACTTGGATTTAAATGAAGTGTTCCTTAATTTCTCTCTTTCTCCCTTCCTTAGAAGTTGGTGGATAGGTTTGATTTTGGAGAAGATTCTGAGCATAGTGAAGAACCCAAAAAGGAAATTGCAACTCCTCAATTGTAAGAATTGTGATTTTTCTGTATATCCGTAGTTTTTCTTCTCTTATTTTTGTGAATACTGGGTGGGATCTTGCTACCTAAAATATGTACTAAGTAAGTTGGGATATTGGTTCAGGCTCTTGAACTCCCGCATTACAGGAAAGTGGTGGAATTACTGTCTTTTTATAGTCTTTTCTTTTTTTAAAGATTTATTTATTTTTAATACAAAGTCAGATATACATAGAGGAGGAGAGACAGAGAGGAAGATCTTTTGTCCGATGACTCACTCCCCAAGTGACCACAACGGCCCGTGCTGTGCTGATCTGAAGCCAGGAGCCAGGAACTTCCTTCCGGGTCTCCCACACAGGTGCAGGGTCCCAAGGCTTTGGGCCATCCTCGACTGCTTTCCCAGGCCACAAGCAGGGAGCTGGCTGGAAGTGGAGCTGCCGGGACTAGAACCGGCTCCCATGTGGGATCCTGGCACATTCAAGGCGAGGACTTTAGCCACTAGGCCACACGGCCGGGCCGTTTATAGTCTTTTCTTGGAACTTAGAAATAGCTGGTCATATAGGGAAATTGCTAAGTAGTAGTAAGTTTAGCTGTGATACTTCCTTTTTAGTTTTTAAGTTATCTAACTCAGCTGTAGAATAATGCTAGTACTAGGAAAGAAGCCTGCCACCGAGTTGGGGAGTATTATTTGACTAACCAGAAGTAAGGATTTGGATTGTGGACATTTTATGTGTTGAGAAATGCATGTTTTTATTCAAATTTCTGTTGGTTTTTTTTTTTTTTTTTTTTTTCCTAAACAGTTCTACAGAGCCTGCTAGGTTTTGGGAGGGTCCGTGAAGGACCATTTGAAGGAGGGTGTTAGAGAATGGCGTGGAAGCTGGGAGGATTGGGGGAGGGAAAGGGGGTACATGGATGACCTTCTCTGATGCTCTTGAATCAAATAGAGGATGTTGGTTTTGTATATTAGGTAATATGAAAGCCATATAATTACAGAATATGGAAAATATGAGTGTTCCTTTTGGTAACTGAGCCTGAAGCACACGCATACCCCACTGTAGGGCCTTTCATAGGCCACAAGGGTATGTTCTACTGACACCTGTGGTGAGAAGTCAAGTCATTGGTGTTATGATATGTTCTTTTGTTAAACTAATCTGGTTTCCTGTGTTTTCTACACAATGATTTGAGTTTTGCTTCCTGAAGCAAGGAAACAAATGTGTTCTGTATCTTTGAGACCAGCCTTCAGTATTTGAAGATAGGTATCATTCTTCTCCTTTGGTTTATTTGTTCCAGATGAAGTACACTTTTTTCAACTGTTGCAAGACTTCTCACAATCCTACTTGCCCCTTTTGGGATGCCTTCTGTCTTTGTTCATGTCTTACCTTGTGGCACCCAGAATTCCAGGTTTATTCCCGGTGTGGATTTCTCAGAGTGTAGTTAAATTGTTATTTCCCCTTATCTAAGCATTATCTATTTTTGTTAACATGCCTAGTATATATTTATGCTTCTAAAATATGGTACATTTTATCAGATCTCTCGTTAGTTGTAATTGTGATTTTCCATGTATTGATTGCTAAGCCATATTTGACTCCATATTGTAGTCAGAGGAGTTAAATTGAAAACCTTAAAATAATTCAAGATTTCTATAATTTAAGCTATTCTAATGAAAACACCAGTGTGTATTTAGTCGTGTGAGACGTATCAGATCTTCAACGGAGAATCTCTAACATCTTTTGTTACACTTTTGTAACACTTTTGAAATATACCTTTTAATGTATTCATATTCTGAACTGTTCTGTTTATTTTCATCTTTAACAGAATTAAAGCATGTTTCCATGTGTTTTTCCGTGTAGGTCCCATGTGCCAGACTCTGTGAACAATTCCATCTTCCATCAGATAGCAGAGCAGCTGCAGCAGCAGAACCTGGAGCACCTGAGACAGCAGCTCCTGGAGCAGCAGCCGCCACCGAAGGTACCTGACCCTCGCCTGGCACTCAGACACTGATGGACATGCTGGGGTTTTGCATTCAGTTTGCTGTTGCTGCTATTGTTTCATCCTTTTAATTTTTGCTTTTTTTTTTTCTGAAGTATGGTGGTATGTCTTTAACTTTGTGGCAGTGTTTAATGCATTGATTTCAAAATGTGTTGGTATAAAAAGAATCTTAGTTTTTATCTCCATTTGTATACATACCATTTTTTTTTTTTTGATTCATTTTTATTGGAAACTGCAGAACAAAAGATCTTCCGTCCCCTGATTCACTCCCCAAGTAGCTGCAGGTGCCAGAGCTCTGCTGATCTGAAACCAGGAGACGAGAGCTGCTTTCGGATGTCCCATGGGAGTTTATGGTCCCCAGACTTTGGGACATGCACTGTTTTCCCAGACGATAAACAGGGAGCTGGATGGGAAGTGGGTCAGGTGGGACATGAGCTGGACCCACATACATACTTTTTAAAGATTATTTGAAAGGCAGATTTACACAGAGGAGAGACAGAGTACACATATTCTTTGAGGTTCTTTTGTGTTACTAAGTTCTTCTCACAACCTTTGTAGTTTTTTCTGTAATGTACTGTTTTGTTTTTTTGTTTTAAGATTTTATTTTTTTTGTTGGAAAATAAGATATACAAAGAGGAGAGAGAGAGGAAGATCTTCTGACTGTTGATTTATTTCCCAAGTGGCCGCAATGGCTGGAGCTAAGCTGATCCGAAGTCAGGAGCCAGGAGACTTTTCCTGGACTCCCACATGGGTGCAGGGACCCAAGGCTTTGGGCCGTTCTTGACTGCTTTCCCACAGCAGAAGCAGGGAGCTGAATGGGAAACGGGGCTGCTGGGATACGAACTGGCGCCCATATGGGAATCCCAGTACATTCTAGGCAAGGACTTTAGCCAGCAGGCCACCATGCTGGGCCCTTTTTTCCTTCAATTTTATTTTAAATTTTATGATGCAATTGCATAGGCCATAGGCTCTGAGGTTTCCCTTACCCCCTCCCCAAAACCTGATTTTCCCCATATTATTACAAGACTGCAGTCCTTCATACACAGTTATAAACCCATTGTTCTGCAGTGTAAGTGTGTCCTGACATTGTGAGTACAGACAGGGGCACACAGTCCAGTATACTATTGTTAAGATATATTCAACACTTTTGTTGGGAATCCATCTTTGATTTGAAAGTAGAGATGCACACTGCATTGTATCTTCACATCTGGATAAATAGTCTGTTGTACAGTTACTATTACATGCCCTTAAATGAAAAGCCATAAAACAAAATCAAAAACAGGAATAAAGTTTAAAAAGTAGCCATGAAGTTTAAAACAAAATACTATTGAGTAACTAATGAGTCAATGTAGAAATGAAAAAGAAAACAAAATATCTTGGAGAAAATTGTGCTAGTTAGAGAATAGAAACTATTTTGAAGAAATAAAAATAAGTACAAAAATATCAAAACCCAGGAATTGCATCAAAAACAATATTGAAAAAATTATTGATCTTATAATTTGCATGAAGGTTGTGCTGTGTTCTGATAGTTTGTGACTCCTCATTGCAGAGACTGATTGGAGTATACTGCAAGTAGAGAACAGAAAACCCTAGACTTTCAGAATCACTGTTTCAAAGTTCATATTTTCCTCTCAATTCTGTTCCTTGTTAAGCAAAGAGTATGTACCAGCAACTTTATTAGCAATCTAACTTTCATAGTTAACAATTAATCTTCATGGGGTAGGCATTGTGACTGCCGTTTACTTCAGAGGGAATTGAAGGTTAGTGCGATTAGACATCTAATACGAAGTGCAGACCTGAGGGTGCATATGTGCACGGTGTTGTCTGCTCCCCATGCCAGAGTGCTTGGGTTCGTACCCTAGTGCCTCTTTCCCCTTCTTCCCCTGCCACCTTCCCTTAGGAAGACTACAAGCAGAGTCCACACAATAATGTCGGATGTCTTTTTCTTGAAATGTATTCTTGGTAAGGCACTAAAGCCAAATAATAATTGAATTTGCTGTTAAATCACCCTTTTCAACTGTGCTGTTTATGTTGTTTGACATAATGGGGAATAATTGATGAGCAATTATGGATAATAACAATTCCTTGGATCACACAATAGCAACCTGTTTTCAGAGCACAGGAAAAGTAAGATCTGTAGGATTGCGTGACATATCCTAGATTTTTGAAAGGATTCCCAATAGCCAAATGCTAGTATGAAAATTACAATATATAATTTAGATAGTATGTTTCAAATAAATTTTGTTTTTGTTCTTAAAGATAATATGCAGTGCTGTTTTCAAATACATAGTATAAATGGCTCAAAAATGAAAAACTAAAGTTGATTACAGGGGATCCTTGTGGTTATAACAAGTATATACCATTAGATGGTTTATTCATATTGAACAGGACATGGAATGCGATAGATCTAGGGCTGGAGTTGGGTGTTGAAGTAGAAAAAGTGATACTAATAATGTTTGAATACTGAATTTAAGATTCAGGGAAAAAAATGAAAATCATCTCACTGTGTTGCTAAAAATTGTTACTTCCTGATTTTGAAGGAAATTTTATTTTTCATGTATTGAAACACAGTAGGACAGATCTTTGATCCTCTGACTTTTTTTTAAGATTTTTTTTTATTTGAAAGATTTATAGAGGAAAGGAGAAATAGAAAGATAAACACATCCTGCTGGTTAACCCCCCAGATGACAACTGCTGCAGCCACGCCAAGTCTGAATCCAGGAGACCACAGAGGTTTCCCATGAGGTTTCAGAGACCCAAGATCTTGAGCTGTGGTCTGCTTTCCCATGTGCTCCAAGTGGAGCAGTTGGGACATAAACTTGTGCTCCAGATAGGAAACCAGTGCTCGCAGGTGGAGGATGAGCTTGTTGAACCTCCCTGCTGGCTGCTGGTTTACAATTTTGACGTCTGCCACAGACAGGGCTAGATTAGCAAGGAGCAAGGGATCAATCCGGGTCTCCCCTGATGGTGGCTGGGATTGAAGTCTAAACTTCTGCGTTCCAGGATTTGCATTAGTAAAAAGCCAAAGTTAGAGTCAGGACTTAAGCTAGACACTCTTTTTTTTTTTTTTTTTAAGATTTATTTTTGTTATTTTTTATTGGAAAGGCGGATATACAGAGAGGAGATACAGAGAGGAAGATCTTCCGTCCGATGATTCACTCCCCAAGTGAGCGCAACGGGCCGATACTATGCCGATCCGAAGCCAGGAGCCTCTTCCGGGTCTCCCACGCGGGTGCAGGGTCCCAAAGCTTTGGGCCGTCCTCAACTGCTTTCCCAGGCCACAGGCAGGGAGCTGGAAGGGAAGCGGGGCTGCCGGGATTAGAACCGGCGCCCTTATGGGATCCCGGGCGTGCAAGGCGAGGACTTAACCACTTGCGCCACCGCGCCGGGCCCGAGCTAGACACTCTTAATTAATATAGCCTGTAGCTGTGCAAAAACGGCATTGGTCACTGCAGTAAATGCCTGCCCTATTGTAACATTTTTCAAGGGTAAACCAAGGCTATGCTAGAAGAGTAGGGTTATTTACTAACTTCTGTCAGTGTTGTGGTAGAGAACACTGCTATCTGTTTTAATTCCTAATAGAGCTTTCATTTCAAAATCTCACACGTTACTTATCACAGGGGAACCTGTACCCCACCCCTATTATTGGTCACAGGTCATGGAATGGTTCTTTGCATTCTTTTCACTGTTAGTTTCCATACAACTAACTAACTAACTAACTATCTTTCTTTCTTTCTTTTCTTTTCTCTTCTCTTCTTTTCTTTTCTTTTCTTTCTTTCTTTCTTTCTTTCTTTCTTTCTTTCTTTCTTTCTTTCTTTCTTTCTTTCTTTCTTTCTTTCTTTCTTTCTTTCTTTCTTTCCTGTATTTCGACAATCTTTACATAGTTAATTAGGGTAAAAAGGTTCAAGGGCTACAGGAAAGTGGGTATAATTATTATTTCCATATTGTTTCCTTCATGTTTAAAGGGGGGTATTAAGAGAGAAGGACCACCCAATTTCCCACCCTCCCCAGGTCCCAGATGTAGGGTATGCTCCGAGGTTCTTGCTCAGGTGGTTTTGATATTTCAACAGTTATGAATCGCTGCCAGTCTTGCCACTCCAAGCATTATGAGGTCTTTGAAGAATCCACTGATTGACATAGTCCATCATAGAGTCTCCGTTTGCCCTGTATTTCCATTGCCAACATATAGCTGAGATGGTTGATTGACCTGTTCTGTCTTCTCTCTTTTCTTGGTTAGGGTTCTGAATCCAGCATTTCGATTGGGGAAATCTCCAAAGAAACTTTGTCTGAGGTGTTCTCAGACCAGATTCTTGAATGTACTAGCAAGTACTGGCACAGTCCATCGCCCTGATCAGCTGGTGGTTGTGATCACTGGGTTGGTTCTGTTTTCACTCCCGACTTCCACTGGAACCAATGGGTGTTGCAGTCCGGCCTGGTTCTGCCCAGCACATACTCGGCCCTCACATAAACAAGTGGGAGCTGCAGCCTAGTTGGGGTGACCCGCAATAACCCCCACCAGGCCTGCTCCCTACCCTGGTTTGCCAGTATGTGTAGCAGTAGTCCAGTCTATCCCACATCCCATTCCACCCCCGCCGCTGTCCTGGTTTTCTTGCCCTCCCGTAGAAGTGGTAACCCAAAAGGGATGAGCCCACTATTTCCCTCCCAGGCCTCTCCCACTCCAGGTTAAGCACTCTCCACGTAGTTCTGTGGTTTGACTTGACAGAACTAGCCCCCAGTGCCAGCTTCTGCCAGCTGATGCTGCAGCTAAGCCCCAACAACCCTCACCCACTCTAATTTTGTTTGCACCAGTAGGAACAATCAGCCCAGCCTGGCTTTTCCCTAATCTAGTTCACATGAGGCGTACAGGTGTTGTTGCCCTGCCTGGTCTGCTCTACCCCATCCCAGCTCATGCTCTGCAGCGGGAGTAGCTGTCCAGCAAAGGAACCGCCCCTTATTCCCCTGCCGGTTCTGCCCCCTCCCTTCCTGGTTCTCATGTGTGGTGGTTGGGCACTGCTGTCACTTCTGGTACAGGCAACCTCACCTTGGCATTCCATATTGTGCACTAGTCTTTGTTGCACCCGAACCTGGCTCGATCCACACTGTTCTGGTGCTCAGATTTGCCAGTGGATGACGTGGACAGATTCAGCCTGGTCTTCCCCCGACCCATGAAATGTATGCCAATGGGTAACTTTCCATGGCCTGTTCTGGGCTGTTTCCTATCATGTTTCTTGCGGTTACCTGCCGGGTCTGTGTCCTGCCAGAGGAGTTGCCCAGGCTCCCCCATCAGAACCTCTCATATTGCCAGGTTTCACGCATACCAGTGGGTCCATGAGCCAGCCCTACTCAGTTCACCTCCTGTCTTAGCAGGAACAGTGGCTTTTCCTGACTGGCCTTCAACCCAAACTGGTCCTTGCTGTTGGATGTTTCAGCCCAGCCATGGCTTATCCATACGCACATATGGCTCACACATAGCTCAGTAGGGGTTGAGACCTTGCCTAATGCATCACACATCTATCCCGGTCCTTCAGGACACCAGAGGGTGTTGGAGTCTGGCCTGGCTCGGTGCGTCCAGTCCCAGTCCACACTTGTGCCAAGGGAGACTGCAACCATTTCCAGATCAGAATGCAGCCCCCTTTCCAGCCCACACGCCACTTGGTGGGAACCTCAGCCCAGCTAGGGTTGTCCCCTTAGCTCCCCAACCGGGCCTTTTCCCAGCCATAGATCACATGCATGCCAGTGATTGCTCTGACTCAGCTTGGCACAGCCCCTCACCTGTCCCGACCTCTGCCTTAGACACTGTGGCTTAGTGTTCCTGGCTCACACAGACCAGTAGGTACAAGAGCCTAGCTCAGCATGACCTGTGCTCCATCCTGGTCTCTAGTTTTGCTTATGGGCTAGGGTTTGCTCAGTCCTGCTCGGTACACCCTGTTCCATTACCAATTGACACATTAGTCAGCTGTTGGAGCTATTTTGCCCAGCTTGTCCAACCCCCAGGTCTGGACCAAATGTTCACCAGCAGGAGCTATGACTTGCCAAAGGAGTTTCACAAGTTCCTTCACTTAATCCACTGCCAGACCCAGCTTCTCATACATGCCATTGGGTTTAGGCCAGGTTCTGGTGAAGTCTGGCCTTCCATTTGGCCTTGTATGAGCTGGTGAACATAGCAGCTTGGCCCACCCCACACCCTAATCAGGATGCACATTCGGGTGCTGCTGCCTTGACCAGTCCAGACTGTTGTCGGTTCCTTTACCTGTGATTGATGGCCGGCTCCTTGGTCACACCTAGCTTAGTCCATCACCACCCCCAACTCTTGAGATAACCAGTGGGGCTAGAATTTCCACAGGGTGTGGCCCACACTTCCCTCACAGAATTTACCCCTGGTTATGGTTCTCGAGTGCTAGTTAATGTAATGGCCTGCCTAATGTGACTCTTCTCCTGATCCATCATCATGTCAGGTAATATGTTATAATTCTGCAGGACAAGCCCCAAGCCATAGCTTTTGCATGGACTGGTATTTGGTGGTCAGCATTGTTCAGTGATTACAAGTTTTACAAAGGAAGAGTTACTGCCATTGGGAATCTTTACAAATGCTTCACTTCCTAGAAGCACAGTAGGTTCAACCTGGAGCTACCTAAGCAGCGATTCAAAGAACCATGGTGGCTGTCATCTGGAATCTAGGCATGAGACTCCCCCTCCTGAGACCCACCAGCAGCTGGGGGGCTGCTGCCCCATACAACTTTATTTCCTTCCAGTTCAATGTCAGTCATAAAAGTAACCTATTTCAAGCTCCCATGTAAATAAATCACTGGTTGGTTTGCTATGATTCAAACATGTTAGATATCTTGATGTTGCTTTTAAAATTATTTTTAAATATATGGAGTGTTCAGCGTTAATGTTTAATGTTATAAGGAAGATACTGACAATATTCAAAATAATAACCCTGGTTACTGCTTGTCATGTTGTCTATTTTTGTAGAGAATAAAATTAGTGAAAACGAGTTTGCAATCAGTAATTTTTATAAAAATAGCTACTCTCTTGCAAAGGATAATTTGAAATCAAAATAATCTTTTTTATTTTAAGAGGTTTATTTATTTGAAAGGCAAAGATATAGAGAGGAAGAGGTAGAAATCTTTCATCCTGTTTTTTATTCTCCAAATGGCCATAGTTGGGAACCAGGAGTTTCCTCTAGTTCCCAATTGGGTGCCAGGGGCTCAGTAACTTGAGTCCTCCTCTGCTCGTTTCCCTTGTCATTAGCAGGGAGCTGGGTCAGAATTGGAACAGCTGGGACTTGAACTGGTGCCCAGGTGGGATACTGCCACACCACAGCACATGCCACACCACAGCACAGCTGTTAATGTAGAAAATTTCTATTAAGGTGGCTTAAATTACTTCCTAAAGCCAGTAAACTGAACAAAGCAGTTTCTGTCTTAAAATGTCTGATTCTCTTACCCTGTGAAACTTTCTGTGTGTTTGAGGATTTGAGAATTTTTTTTCTTTTAAGATTTATTTTTATTGCAAAGTTAGATCTACAGACCAGAGGAGAGAGGGGAAAATCTTCCATCTGTTGATTCACTTCCCAAGCAGCCACAAAGGCTGAAGCTTAACTGATCCAAAGCCAGGAGCCTGAACCTCTTCTGGGTCTCTCACGCAGGTGCTGGATCCCAAGGTTTTGGGTTGTTCTCAACTGCTTTTCTAAGCCACAAGCAGAGATCTGGATGAGAAGCGGGGCTTCCGGGATTAGAATCGGCACCCATAGGGGACCCCAGTGCATTCAAGGCGAGGACTTTAGCTGTCAGGCTACTGCACTGCATCCAATTTGTATGTTTTTGCGATTTGTTTACTCTGCAAATGCCAAGGACTTTGGAATCCTGGTTCCCCATGTGGATGGCAGCCAGTCCAGCTACTTGAGACAATGCCTGTTGCCAAGCTTCCTGTTCACAAGAAGCTGGAATTCATAACTCAGCCGGCACGTGAACTGAGACATTCTGATGGGATGCAAGCAGCATGTGTACTGTCCTGCTGCTGTGCCTCACATTCGCCCTACAGAGTTCAAAGTTTAATAGAATAGAATTTTGAAAGTATTTTATAGGTCTAGCTTCAGAGCAGTTTGGTTATGATCAGTGATCTTAATTGTACCATTTGAGGTTTGTTTTGCCATTTAAGATACTTTCCTGGACTTTTTAATTTGTACCATTTTTATTAGTGCTAATTATCAGTGAAATTCTAGACTTATTTAACTTAATGGCATTGTATGTGATTCATTCATGATAAAAATTCTTTCTTGAATTCTGTATATTTTCAAGAAATACCTTAAGTATGTGCCTGATCTTACTGTTGTATTTGTCATATGGTCTCTTCCTCTTCTGCCATGGAGATCTTTAAGTAAATCTGTTATACAAAGGTGTGATTTTAAGTTGATTATAAATAGTATGTAATTTAAACATTTGTAATGTCTTGCATTTAAATTTTCATTTGTGATAATAATCTCCCAATGTGTTTTATGTACTTTTTTTAGGCAACGCCTCAGGATAGTCAGGAAGGCACATTTGGGTCTGAGCATTCAGCATCACCGTCCCAGAGCAGCAGTCAGCAGCAGTTTCTGGAGCCTGAAGCGAATCCGGATGATTCCATAGATATTCAGCAACAGGTGAACAGAATGCTTTCCAGATTATGTCTACAATTAGAAAGTGAAAGTATAGAGCAAGTATCTTGTAAAGGTCATTTCTCTAAAGCATTTTTCTGCTGCTTAACTCCACACCATAACCTTCTTACTTACGAGATATTTTGCTACTAGCATGTTGGTTACTAAGGTGTAGAGTCAAAATATAGCTAATTGTTAATGAAGCTTTTTGTTGATTTTTCTGTTCTTTTTAACCTCCAAGGATATGGATATAGATGAAGGGCAAGATGGAGTGGAAGAGGAGATATTTGAACAAGAAACTAAGAAAGTGGCTCTTCGCTCAAGATCCAGAACTCATTCACGGTCTCGTTCAAGGTTCATATTTTATTCATAGCTTTGTCTGAGCTTCTAAAATTTAGCTTTATTTCTTTACATCAAGATTAAAGGAACTGCTTTTCTTGAAATGACAAATTCTAAGTAAAAAATTATTCAAAACTTCAGAAACCAAGAATCACCTTTGTTGTATTCTAACTGTATATATCTGTAGCTACTTAATGGAATACTTAAGAGAAACAGATACACAGTTAGACTGAATTTTGCATGATGTCAGCTTTTAATTGATAGTGTTATGATGATATCCATTTTAGGATGTTATTGCCTCTGAACATAGCAGTTAGAACTATATTTTTTGCATTTCATTTTATCTCATGATACCAAGATTCATCACAGAAAACCAGAATATATTGTTCAGAAACAAGAGATATAATACCACGTCCTGTTTAGGGTGGGAAGGTCGAGAGGAGGAGACAGTGGATTTGGGAGAGGGAAGGAGAACAGGACAAATTCATTATCCTAACTAGATCAGTACCCAGGGATATGGGGACGATGGTGTAATTTTGTTATTAACATTCATTTCCTAATTTCATGATTGTGGTATCTTTGTCACCTACATAGCCATTCATTCTTGTTTTTGATTACTATATAAAAAAATAAGTTGCATAACACTAGGGAAACTTCATGAAACTCTTCCTAGAATCTCGTTCTTTGATTCTACATGAAATTTGTTGCTGATTTGGACTGTGCATTATGAGATTGTGGAAGAATGCATGTTTGAAACTTGATTTTAGACCAGGCCCCTTTTGCCTTACTGCTCTTGGGTGCCTAGGCGGCTTCTGGGAGACTGGGGGCTTGTGCCGGGGACCAGCAGAGTGACATCGACCAACACATGTTTGGCTCCCTGGCGGGCAGATAGGGTAAGCGTTAGGGCCCCAGGCTTGTGTGCTAGCATCGTTTGCTGGTGGGCTGGGCTTGGGGACTCATTAACGTGCATGAGTCTGGGTGGCAGAGGTTATGGTCCCAGGCCAGCAAGTATGCTGGAGGACTGGATCTGGGGTCCGATCTGGGTTAGCAGGGCTGGTCTTCAGGGCAGTATGCCACTCCAGCTGAAGATTGGCTGTAGAATCCATGTATTCACAGGCACCAGAGCTGTGGATTAATCAGGGAAGATAGTATAGGATGTATGAGAGGGGGGCTGCTTTGGGAGCATGTCACAGGTGGGGAATGACTTCTGGGGGACTTTTGCTGACAAGGCTACTGTACTACAGGTCAGCAAGGAGGCTGAGGCTGAGTGATTTGCAAGTGGGAAGCTAGAGGATCTTTCTGGGTCAGATCGATGTACCCGCCCACCTGGGAGACCTGAGCTAGGCTGGTTAGCATTGACCACCACCGATCATCACCCACCAGTGCCCAGTAATATTAGGGCTGGGGGCGTACCTGGCAGGAGTAGATCACTGTACCCACAAATGAGTGGACCATGGCACTAACCAGCGTGCAAAAGAAGCAGATCTGGGGACATTCTGTGGGGAATATGTTGGCTTACTCTGTGGAACTAAAATATCCACTGGTTTGTTCAAGAACTGAAGTAGGGTGATGGACTTAGCTAGGCATGACCATGAAAGCCCCTGACACTCATGGATACTGGGGTTAGGAATAGGCCTACGGTTCCAGGCTGCAGGACCCAAGAACAGGATGTTGGGTGGCTAGGCCACAGCATCCTCCAGCACACACAGAGGCCAAGACAGAGGGGCAGACTATGTTGGGTAAGGAACTAGCACCCACTGGCACATGTGAGGCCTGGAGCTGGGAATAGGCCAGTTGGATAATTGGGGAACTCACTTTGGGCTGTAGGTCCCGGTGGTGAGCACGTGATCCAGGACTGGGTGTTGGTCAGGCCGGCTAAGATCATTCTTGTTGGCAAGCTTATAGGCTGGTTCTGGACCAGGGAGTAGCATCCTGGCATGTGTTGGAGCCAGGATGGAGTGCGGGCTGTGCTGCGCTAGGCTATCACACCAACCTGTTTGTGTAAAAGCCTGGGATGGGGCAAACTAGGCTGCAGCACTCATCGGTGAGAGTTGGGACTTGAGGTAGGCTGGTACAGGCCAGGCTGCAGCATCTAGTGACAAAGGCCAGAATAGGGGATGAGCCATACCTGGCTGGGCCAGAGAAACCATCAACACTTGTAGGATCTGTGGCTGCTAGTAGGCCTGGTCGGAGAGACAAGGGGATGCTCCAGATTGTGAACCAGGTTGTAGTTCCCATTGGTGAGCATGAGAGTCTTGAGGGTGGCGATTCAGCAGGACGTGGCTGCGGTGTACCTTGGCCTGGCTTTGGATTGGTTCTTGGGTGTGCCAGATGAGGCTAGGCTTCAGCACTTACTCATGTATGTAGGAGCCAGGTAGGAGTGGGACAGGCTGTATAGGTCTCGGTGCCTGCGGAACCACATGAGAGCTGGGTCTGTGGGTAGACCAGGCATGGCTGTGCTGTAGCACCCAACAGTAAGACCCAGAATGAGTGTGGGCCAGTGCAAGGTTGCTCTTCCTGCCAGTACAGGAGGTGGGCCAAATTAGGCTGGGTCAAACCACACCAGTGTGGGCAAGATCTGCCTTTGGGAGGTAACCTGATAGGGGAGCTTGGAGAACTCTTCTGACAGGACACAGTTCCTGCAGGTGAGTGCAAGAACTGAGGCAGGGAGCAGCCGAAATCAGGACAGGGTGCAGGATGGGCTGGATTGGGCCATAACACCAGCCAGTTCATATTAGAGGAAGGACTTGGGGCAGTCCAGGCTAGCATAAGCTGTTGCACCCCCAAGCATGAGTTAGAATTGGGGGCAGGTCTTGCCAGGCCAGGCTTCAGTGCTTCCTGGCAAATCTCGAGGTGAAGCCGACCACACCAGACTAGGCTGCAGCACTCATCAGCACATGTAAGTCAAGGGAAGATGGGTGGGATGAACCTGGCAGGGGAACAGTGAGAACTCCCATGCTTTCCCATTGTCCCCACTGGTGAAAATAACTGGGACAGGGACAAACCAGGCTGGACAGGGCTGCAGCACCAGTTGGCTTGCCTGTGAGCTGGGTTGCGCTAAGTGCCCTATCCACTGGTGCATGCATGAGCCAGAATAAGTGCAGGCTGGTTGAGTTTGCTGCAGCATCAGCTGGTAAGTACTGTGATGGGGGGCAAGTGCTGTTAAGATAGACTATAGAACTACCTGGAAAATGCAAGATCTAGGGCTGGGAATGAGACCAGTAGGGAAACTTGTCACCTTTCTGATGGGCTACAACTCCCACTGGTGAGCATAAGGACCAGGGTTAGGAATGGACCTGGCTGGACAGACAGTAACACCTGTTAGAATTAGTTGCGCTGAGTTAGACTGCAGTACCCATCAGTGTGTATAAAAGCCAAGTGGATGCGGGATATACCGGATCAGTCTGATGCACACACCGTCATGCTTAGTAACTGGAGCTGGGTGTAGGCCTGGTAGGGTTAGCATGTCGCTCTATCTGGACTGCAGTTCCTGTTGGTATACTTGAGGGCTGAGGGTGTGGTGGGCAGGCTTGGGCTGGGCCACAGCATCCATTGTTTTGCATAAGAGTTGGGACTGGCAAGACAGAACTGACTTAGCAGCTGCAACTACCAGTGTGTGTATGGTCTGATGTGGGTGGATGGACTGAGCCTGGATCCTGTACTAGGTAGCACACAGAGGACTCATGTCTAGGATCACCTTTGGTGAGGTTTCTTTGGGGGATCCTCCGAACTGAACTGCTGGACTCAGAACTCTAACCGTGGGGAGAATTGCCATGGGTCTGTGGTCTGACCATGGAGTGTATGTGTCACAAATGGGCTGCCTCATTTGCTGAAGACAGTGTAGTGGATGGCATGCCCAGATGGACTGGAGGATATGACAGTCCACTGGGGCATGCAGAGGGCATCTAGCACCATAGCAGAAGATGGAAGGCAAAACAAATTGGACAACCCTCTCAGCCAAGCTCTTTGTAAGCAAGTGTCTGGGCGAAAGGAGGCTCTAAGGTGGACCATGCCAACTACTAGGCCTTGGAAAGATTTGCTTAACCTTGGGGCAGTGAAATCAACAGCATTTCGAAACTATTGCAATGACTTGAACAGAACCCTCAAAGCATGCTCCACATCGGGTTCCCTGGAGTGACATGGAGTGGCTGTTCCCCGCCTGTGGTTACTGATACGGTTGGGTTGCTGGGTGTGGCTTCTGCCCTGTTTCCTCCTCCTAGATTTAGGAAGAATAAAAATAAAATTAGAAAAAATGGTCTCGTCCACTTTCCCATACTCCTCAACCCTCTCCACCCTCACCAGTATCCCCTAAGGGCATGTATCCATCTCAACTATGTCAACATTGTCAAAATTAAAAAGTTCACATATATAGACAGAAACCTATTTAAATACTTTAGTAATGAACTAAATGTAAGACAACTGTTTTTCCTCACTTAAAAGTGAGGAATTTTAGAGGATGATGTTAGAGCAGTGAAATCAACATTTTTTTTAATAGATCACCAAGAAAACGGAGGTCTAGGTCACGGTCTGGTTCTCGGAAGCGCAAACACAGAAAACGCTCCCGTTCCCGCTCGAGGGAAAGGAAGAGGAAGTCCTCCCGGTCCTACTCCAGTGAGAGGAGAGCGCGGGAGCGAGAGAAGGAGCGGCAGAAGAAGGGACTGCCTCCGATCAGATCTAAAACGTTAAGCGGTGAGTGACGTGCTTCTGGAGAGCCTGGTTTCTGTGCATCCTGTAGGGCCTTGGCAGGTGGGGAGTGTCTTCGTACCTACGTGTTGTAACGTTATTGGGAGGAGGAGAAAAGGAGTAACGGATTCTCCCCAAACACTACTTGATTGAGCAGCAAGCTTCTGTTTCTGTTTTAGTTTAAGGTAGGTTCAGAAGTGTGACTTGATAAGTGAACAGGTAAAGCTAATCAGGTAGGAATTTGCAGCATGGATACTTTGTCTTCCGTGCGCAGCATCCTGTTTGTGACCCTCAGGTCTGAAGGAGCATATATTTTGCTATCTTTTTTTTTTTTTTTAAAGATTTATTTTTATTATTTTTTTATTGGAAAGGCGGATATACAGAGAGGAGAGACAGAGGAAGATCTTCCGTCCGATGATTCACTCCCCAAGTGAGCGCAATGGGCCGATGCTATGCCGATCCGAAGCCAGGAGCCTCTTCTGGGTCTCCCACGCGGGCGCAGGGTCCCAAAGCCTTGGGCCGTCCTCGTCTACTTTCCCGGGCCACAAGCAGGGAGCTGGAAGGGAAGCGGGGCTGCCGGGATTAGAACCGGCTCCCATATGGGATCCCGGGTGTGCAAGGCGAGGACCTTAACCACTGCGCCACCGCGCCGGGCCCTATCTTTTTTTTTTTAAAGATTTATTTTTAATGGAAAGGCAGATATACAGAGAGGATAGGAGACAGAGAGGAATATCTTCATCTGCTGATTCTCTCCCCAAGTAACTGCAATGGCCAGAACTGAGCCAATCCGAAGCCAGGAGGCAGCAGCTTCTGCCCGGTCTCCCGTGTGGGTGCAGGGTCCCAAGGCTGCAGGCCGTCTTTGACTGCTTTCCCAGGCAGCAAGCAGGGAGCTGAAGTGGAGCAGCCAGAACAAGAACCAGCACCCGTATGCAATCTCGGTGCGTGCAAGTTAGGACTTTAGCCACTAGGCTACTGTGTTGGACCCTTGCTGTCATTTTTAAAACAAATTATAAGTTCATAGGTTGCTAAAGAGGAGAAATGAGTATTTTACAAACCTTTTCTCTGTATATAATCTTTTATTAATATACATAGAATAAATTTAGTTTAGGGACTGGCTAGAGGTTGTAACTTGCAAGGTGAAGGTACCACTTCAGATGGGGCAGAGTGCTGCCTGCAGCACGTCACAGTGTCACAGTAAGAGCTGGACCATGCTCAGGTCACCTCACTGCTGGTGTGGCTGCTGTGCTGGAATGTGTGAGTAAGGCAGACCTAGAATCAAAACAGTGGTTGTCTTCCTGCTGAGCTTGGCACTTTGGGCAGGATTTGGCTATGTGTCTACTCTTACCTGATTGCGAAAGCTAGTACCAGTTTGATTATGTTGGTATTTCTAGCTCTAGAAGTTTCTGTTTGCACGTTGGAAAACTAAATTGAAACTAGTGGAAAAGACTGAAGGAAACGATGCTGAACACCTAGCTACAAAGTGTGCTCATGCCCCATGTGATTCCCTTTAAGACATTCAGAGCCCTGAATTTACATACCAGTTCCTGGGCAGGGCTTTCTTGCAGGCATTCTTTTAGTTGGTCACTAAATTGTCATATTGTTATTGTCACAATTTATGCAGCTGTTGGGCCTGGACTTTGTTATTTGTTACGGTTTTACTTTAATGGCTATAACTCATAGAGGAAAAGAAACTCCAGATGGCAAGGAGGCAGATTGCTGTGAGAGCTGTGTGTGCATCGCTCAGTGCACAGCCGTCCTCCCTCTGAAGTATCATGGGCTTCATGGGGTTTTATCAGCACATCTGAAATGTAGTGGTGTTTCTCTGCTATTGGGCCACACAGATTGTACCCTAGAATATTTTTCTGTTTAGGGAAGGAGATAAAAAGCACCATACAATATTATAACAGCAGTCGCGTGTCCGGACAGGGTGGGGATGGAGAAGGTCATTCTTGGCTTTCTCAAAATAAAATAATTGTTTATGGTAGCGAGGAGAAGCATGAAACAGATAAGGAGGTTACAGTGTGTCAGAACAGTGGAGAGGACACCACTGGGCAGAAGAGGTTTCTGTGCTCTTTCAATCAAGGATCTTAAGGTGGAAAGACAAACATTATCCAAGGGGGCCCAATTTAATCAACAGAGCACTTAAAGGAGAAATCCAGGGCCTGTTGTGATAACCTAGTGACTAAAGTCCTTGCCTTGCACACCCCGGGATCCTATATGAGCGCTGGTTCGTATCTTGGCTGCCCCACCTCTATCCAGCTCCCTGCTTGTGGCCTGGGTAAACAGTCGAGGACAGCTCAAAATCTTGGGATCCTGCACCCATGTGAGAGACCTGGAAGAGGCTCCTGGCTCCTGGATCCTGGCTCCTGGCTCCTGGCTCCTGGCCTCGGATTGGCTCAGCTCTGACCGATGAACTAATGGAAGATCTTCCTCTCTGTCTCTCCTCTCTGTATATCTGTCTTTGCAATAAAAATAAATCTTTTTTTTAAAAAAAAAAAGACAAAAGAATTTTTAATGAAAGGAGAAACAGATGGATTGGAAAATGCTACTATGCCACTAGCACTGCCGGAGGTGGTTGGTGCTGCCAGGTCGAGGCATTGAGGCAGTTGTAAGAGATCTCAAAGCCTAGGGAGCAAAAGTCCGCAGCCTCCAGGGTAGGAGGTGTTCTGCCCATCACTGTAGACCTCTACAAACGTAGGAGAGCAGCTTTGCTTCCGTCTGAGTAAAGTGAGATTTGTATCATTTTCTGACATCAGCAATAAAAACTGACAAAAGTACCTTGAACTTTTGGGAGAATAGCAGATTTTATGTACCTAGGATCAGAATACACTAGACAAAGAATATTTGAAGGCAACAGTTACCAGGGGACTCTGTGTCCGGTAAGTAGTTCCTGGAGCTTATCACAGGTCTGGAAGATTTTTGAGTTTTGACTAACTGGCATAGAGAAACCTAGTTGAAAATCTGGGTCATGTAATGGTGGTCTTGCAGCGGTCATGCTTATATCTAGGTTTCCGCTGTCATATATTAAAGTTAGCTAAAAAGCTGGAAATTTGGGTTGTTTTGTTTTGTAATGATACATAAAAGAAAATATGATATGTTAAGACTACAGACATTTTTGGAAATATTCTTGGTGATAACAGACCACGCAGCTGAAAGTACAAATGAAGTCAGTTGGTTATTTAAGGAAGGGGTGGGCTGCAGTGGTTGAGTGCCGTGATCTTTCATGATAACAATGTATGGGGTTCTCTGTCCCTGCAGAGTATTTTCCTAGGCTGTAGGTAGTCAGGGTCTCAGAGTTATCTGTCGTTTAGTTTCATATAGCACTGAAAGACATACAGGTATACAGATAGACTGCAGTGAGAAGTGAATGCATTCACCTGAGGAAATCTGATATTAGTCATTCCCCACACCACATATCGCTGTTAAAGTGAGAGCCTTGTATCCGCAGCTGTTGAAGCTTGTAACAGGTGATGTGGTGCCAGGTTAGCTTAGCTTGCACGTTGGATTTCCGTTGATTTAAGTGTAATAGTTGTAAGCATCCATTAGCCAGCATCTTAAATATATTAAATATGTACTATTTTAAATTTAATTAGTGCTACTAATGATTGATTTGTCTCTTCTGTTCTGACAGTATGTAGCACTACTCTCTGGGTTGGCCAAGTGGACAAGAAGGCAACACAGCAGGATTTAACCAATCTGTTTGAAGAGTTTGGACAAATAGAATCCATTAATGTAAGTCAGAGGTCTTGAAACAGCCATATAAGGTAGAGAAACACACAGAGGACTTTCCTCAATGAATTGCTTCAATATTTACTTAGAACTTAATAGTATCTGATGTTATTAAGGTGCATTTTTATAGGGATTGTTTCTGTATTTATTCTGATAAAATCATCTCCTTAAATTGTTTTTTCTGAGTTTAAGTTAGCAGCAGCCCCACGTAATCTAGGTTTTTGTAATTTGAGTAAGTCGGGACTGAGTCACTCATAAATAATCATAGAGATGTGGTCGGAATTGAGATTCCCATCTGTCTTGCCAGGTTTTTCTTTTTTCTCTTGCTATATCGTTTCTCATTATATCTCTTTCACTGTAAAATGGATATTTTGCAAGAATAATGGTGTTGCAGTGGCACCTCCAGCAATTGGAGAACAGTTCTTTCACACTTGAACTTAATTTTTTTTACTGCTTCTTTGTCTAGTTTCCTTGAGTATTTCCTCTTCCCGAGGCTGTTACCTTTTTCCTGGGAGCAGGTACCTTTAATTAGCCATTTAAATTGCCTCAATACATGGAAATAATTTGCTTTCCTGTATCTCCTTCCCCTATCATGTAAATTGCAATGAAATAAAGGTAAACAGTGAAGTCTACAGACTTTCATTTCCTTGAGGAGTTTTTCTTAATTGTTTAGATGTGTAGTTTAATTTTTTTTCCTTTTTGGTTTAATTCCCAATGTTTCTTTATGTGGCCAGATTTACTGTTGCAACAGACAGTGCTCTTCACTCTGTCTAGTTTATGTTTTGCTCTCAAATACTTACGGTATAATTGGAGACTCAGACGAAACCAGCTAAGAAATTCAAATACAGGTATTTTGCAGTGAGGAAACGGACTTTGTTGCGTTAGTAGTACAGATAGAAAGTAGGTGAATGCTTCTGCATTACACATTCTCTCAAGCTGAGCTCAAGCTGCTGCCCCTGGACACGCCCCCGTGTATGTTTGTTATAGTCTTTCTGATGTGACTCTGTTTGAGCATCTCTTTGGCTTAGCACCCTCCCTAGTCTGTTATAGGTCGTAGTATTTACAATTAGTAGACACAAAGTCAGATTTAAAACTGAAGTGAACTGAATGATCATAAAACTAGGATATGAAATTCATATATCCCTCTAATTTTCAGAAATTTGAAGTGTGTAAAAAGCTCATTAGACAATTAAGAGTCATGTAACCATCAGTAGTAGACTTGTATGGCTACATGGAGCTACATAGCAAGAGGTGAAGAATCAGACCGGGCTTGGATTGGCTTGTAAGAAGTTGGATATTAAAGAGCTTGAGTCTTCTCGAATCTCATCCAAATGTTAATAATAATAACTCTGGAATTTGCCAAAGTTGAACTAACATCTAGAAATAAATAATTTGTGTTCAGATGTTTTGCACATACTTCATAGTTTCCCTTTTATCTGTTAGATGTTCTATATATAGCTATACTTTTAAGATTTTAATAGCTTGCTTTGTACTAAAGTTATGGCATGTGGTAGTCAAGATCTTTATATGTAATGTCTTTGAATGAATTAAACAGAATTAATGTTTGAGTTTTGGGATTTGTAAAGATGAGTGATTATGCATATATATTTTTTTAATAGATGATTCCTCCCAGGGGATGTGCTTATGTCTGCATGGTTCATCGACAAGATGCTTTTCGAGCTCTTCAGAAACTTAGTTCTGGGTCATATAAAATTGGATCCAAGGTCATCAAGGTAAGAGTTTCTGGATGGGCAAGTGATTGAGTAGACCACATTTTGGTGTTTGCTATGATAAGTCTTTATGGAAAAAGCACACGTGCTCTTATTTTATTGTTGAAAGATTAGATTCTATGTTCTGTTCATCTTTTTTTGTTACAGATAAATATAAATAGAATCTTACTACTTCAAAATTATTGTGTCTTAGGGTTAGATATAGGTAAACAAGACTGGTAAACAACATTTTCAGTTAAACGGTTGTTGAAATTGTGCTTGTACAGTTCTCCGGGTAATAAAGCACCATTTATGAGCTGAACTTCTTCATTTTCACAAAATTGTCAGTTTTACCACTTCCTAATTGTACTCTCTGGTTGCTGTAATTTCTCTCCTTTTAAAAATTTCTTTTATGTATGCACACATACACACTAAGTTCATACTGAGAAACTTTTTTTTTTAATGTATTATTTGAAAAGCAATGTTACGCAAAGTTCGGGAGACCCAGAGAGATGATCCATCATCCATCTGTTCATTCATTCACTCCCCATTTGACTACAATGGCTGTGACTGGGCCAGGCTGAAATTGGAAGCAGGGGACATTATCTGAGTCTTCCCTAGGGTGGCAGGTGTCCAAGCACTTAGACTGTCTTCCACTGTCTTCCCAGAGGCAATAGCAAGGAGCAGATTGGAAGTAGAATGCCTGACATTCAGATTGGCCCCTAATGGGATGCCAGCATCAAAGGTGGCACCTTAAGTCATGTTATCTCTGGCTGTGTCCCCTCCACCCCCCCGAGACATTTTGTGTATTTTTAGTTATTTTTAAAAGGTTTATTTCTTATTGGAAAGTCAGATATACAGAGAGCAGAAAGATCTTCTGTCTGCTGGTTCGCTCTTCAAGCAGCCACAACGGCTGGAGCTGTGCCGATCCAAAGCCAGGAGCTTCATCCAGGTCTCTCATGTGGGTGCAGGGTCCCAAGGCTTTGGGCCGTCCTGGACTGCTTTCCCAGGCCACAAGCAGGGAGCTGGATGGGAAGTGGAGCCGCTAGGATTAGAATCAGCACTCATATGGAATCCCAGCATGTTTAAGGCGAGGACTTTAGCCATTAGGATACCACACTGAGTTCTTTTAGTGTATTTTTATACTCTTCTTAGTTTTTTGTTAAGAATTTATTAAAAATCTGTTTTTCTTGTATTTTCTGCAATGGAATTAAAAATTCTGTTTTCAGCATAGTTGACAGTCTTGGAAGTTTCATCTGGAGAAAATTTATGTAAACTGTTAGCACCGCTCTTTTCTTTCCTGCCGTGTAGGAATACTTCAAAAAGTTTATGGAAAATGAAGCTGGTAGTTTATTCAGTAGTAAAAATATTTTTGAAATGTATGTTTTTTCAAAGTTCTTTGAAATTTTTAAAACCCCCATGTGTATGAATCTCAAATTTTTTGCACAAAACAGCTTTTTAAATTGAAGATTTACTTACTTTTATTTGAAAGGCAAAGAGGGGAGAAACAGAGAGATCTTTAGATTTATTAGTTCACAGCCGGGGTTGGGCCAGTTTGAAACCAGCAGCCTGGACCCTCTCCCGGTCTCCCACCTGGATGCAGGATCCAAGGATTTGGGTTGTTCTTCACTGCCTCTCCAGGCCATTATCAGAATGCTGTGGGGGCTGCAACTGACCCCTATGGGATGCCAGAGCCACAGGCAGAGGCTTAGTCTTGTATACCATGGCACCAGCCCCACCGAAAGTAAACCTCTGTGGCAAATCTTTTGCTTATTTTTAATGAAGCAAAGATCTTCCAGGTGCAGATTCATCCCCTAATGCCTGCAGTAGTCACGATGCGGATGGCTAAAAACTATAGCAGGAAGTTAAGTGAGGTCACCCTCAGAAGTGATAAAGACCCTGCCGCTGACTGAGCTCCCTGGAGCATTAGTGGAAAGTGAGCCAGGAGCAGAGCAGGTGCTCTGTCGATGAATATACTAATTTAACTGCTCCAGCATCCCAGACTGATCTTTTAAATTCTTTTTCCACAAATTTTTGAAGTTCCTTGCACAGGATTGTCTGAGGCTGTACCACAGCTGTCCTAGTTTCTTGCTGATGTAAGTTGAATTTTTTATGGTGAAAAGTTGATTTGGATTGTCTGAGTGAATGTGTCAAGAAGTAGAAATAAATGTCATCTGGTAGACTTTGTCTAATGCAGATTTTTATTTTAAGAGGAAAAAAATGAGGTATATAATAAACTTTTATTGTTGGCTGTCTTCCAGAATTGCCTATCAGATTGTTTTCTGAAAGTAACTTCATTTGTACCTACATTGTTTATGTAATTTTGAACTTTTTATCTTGTTTTTGTGGTATACGTGTGAGTTTTTATTCCCTGCTCCTCTTCCTGTTGCCAATAGATTGCCTGGGCTTTAAACAAAGGTGTGAAAACAGAGTACAAACAATTCTGGGATGTGGATCTAGGCGTTACATATATACCGTGGGAAAAAGTTAAAGTGGACGACTTGGATGGTTTTGCAGAAGGAGGCATGATTGATCAGGAGACTGTAAATCCTGGTAAGCGTCCTAATGTCATTTTATTGGCTACCCCCGCAGGAGGCTATAAGGAACATGACTTTAGGTGATAGCATGAACTATTTATTTAAGAGAAATTTAACAGTTCATTGACTTTTTTATGTATATAGTGGCTTTTTTAAGACTGAATATTTTCTAATTCCTTAAATGGAGATTTTTTGTCTAAGCCTTTTTTTTTTCCTTTTGAGATTTATTTATTTTTATTGGAAAGTCACATTCACAGTAGAGACAGAGAAACAGATCTTCATCTGCTGGTTCATTCCCCAAGTGGCTACAGTGGCCAGAGCTGTGCTAATCCGAAGCCAGGACCCTGGAGCCTCTTCTAGGTCTCCCACATGGGCGCAGGGTCCCAGGGTTTTCTGCCATCCTTGACTGCTTTCCCTGGCCCTAGGGAGCTGGATGGGAAGTGGAACAGCCAGGATATGAACTGGTACCCGTGTGGGATCCCGGCGCATGCAAGGAGAGGACTTCAGAATACATTTATAGTGTGATCACCTGATCTGCTCTTCTTAAACATTTTTCTGGTTTTTTATTTTAGTTATATGCTCACAAAATTATTATAACTAATAATTTTTACATTTGGTATTTGGAAATAAACTGTGATACATACTTTATTTCTGTGTTTCTTAGCCTTCTTATCAAAATTAGTTGGTGTTAAATATAGCTTAGTTCTCGGGCTTTATACAAGCATTTGTTGAAGTATTTTCATGTAATTGTTTTCTTATTCTTCTCACATTGATGACTATTTCTCAAGACTTTTACACATTCGCTAAGTATTTTAGTTTTTACTGTGTACTAGGCCTCATATTAGGAATTGAAAATAAAGATAGAAATTCCTGCTTTGAAATTTAGCATAGGGATTAACAGCCTGTATCCCATTCACTAAATACTTCAGAAGGCTGTGCTATAAATAACATTTTATTGAAACACAACTACATTTAGAGACTTTCTTTTTTATAACTTCCTGTGCAACTGCAGTTTAATAGGTGTAGTACAAAGCGTAAGCCCTGCAAAATGTAAACCACTTACCACAGAAAAAGGGTGCCACCTTAATGGAAAGAAATAGATGATTATATAGGATGGCTGTGTTGTGGTGGCTGAGAGGCTGCTTGGGCCAGCTGTGTTCCGTGCCAGAGGGACAAGACTTTAGTCCTGGCTCTGCTCCAGTTCCAGCTTCCTCCCCATGCAAATTTCAGGTGGCACTAAGTGATGGCTCAAGTATTTGACTCCTCAGCCACATGGGAAGCCTGGATTGAGTTCATGGCTGTGGTGTGGATCTGGCCCAACGCCAGCTATTGCAGGCATAGAAAATAAGGCAGACAGTGTGAGTGTAGCTTCAGCAAAATGCATGAGAGTTAGCAGATTGAAGCAAAATGTAGAAACATGTAAAATTTGTCAGTCTTAGTGACATCTTCTGGACTTAATGCTGAATGTTAAGGAAGTTTTGGACAAACTTTTTGTTCTGTTTACATAGCTGTCTTTTCAGATGGATTTTCCTTTCTTGGGCTAATGCTTTTGCTGGCTTTTCCTTGTTGACCCTTTTGGTTAAAATAGATTATGATCTGTTTCCTTGTATCAGTCTGCCCTTTAGATAGGTAAATAGATACATTTGTTGTGTTTTCTTTAAACATTCTAATGTCTTTCATTTAGATCTTATAGTCTCTTAGACTCCTTATTGTCTTTTTTAGATTTATGTAGGCAGCACAGTTGTGATTGTGTATTAGGATAAAGTTGATGAAGAACTTAGGGTATAACTGCAGGAAATAAATAAGTTCCATTTCACCATGTCACTGAAATTCAATTTCATTATTTTGGTCAGAATGGGAGACTGTAAAAAGCTCCGAACCCGTCAAAGAGACAGTACAGACGACCCAGAGCCCGCCTCCTGCCGAGAAGGAGACAGTGGTCACAACCCAGGCGGAAGTCTTCCCGCCGCCTGTTGCTATGTTGCAGGTTAGTTCTGAGTATATTTTAATATGTTTTCATTTCTCTTTTTATTCAAGCATGCACTTTATGAACATTGCAGCAAATTGAGTTAAAATATATTAGTGTTAGGTAAAGGAATTTTTAAGTTTGGACATGGAGGAGGTTTTTTTTTAAAGATTTATTTTTATTATTTTTTTATTGGAAAGGCGGATATACAGAGAGTAGAGACAGAGAGGAAGATCTTCCGTCCGATCATTCACTCCCCAAGTGAGCGCAACAGCCGATGCTATGCCAGTCCGAAGCCAGGAGACTCTTCCAGGTCTCCCACGCGGGTGCAGGGTCCCAAAGCTTTGGGCCATCCTTAACTGCTTTCCCGGGCCACAGGCAGGGAGCTGGAAGGGAAGCGGGGCTGCCGGGATAGAACCGGCGCCCATATGGGATCCCGGGCGTGCAAGGCGAAGACCTTAACCACTTGTGCCACCGCGCCGGGCCCAGGAGGTATTTTTTGTAACACGTGAGGTACTGCTTTAGATGTGCCCAACCCACTTCAAGATGAAGTTCTGGATCTACTTCCAGTTCTAGTGTTGTTCCTGCAAGTGTGCACCCAAGGAGACAACAGATGATGAATGATCCCAAGTGTTAGAGTCTCTTAAACTCGCTATCGGAGAACCCCTATTGCGTTCTAAGCTTATACTTTTGACTTGGCCAGTCCCACTATTTCAGGCATTTAGGGAATGGACCAACAAATGAAAGATCTCTCCTGACTTCTCTCTCAATATCTATCAAATAAGTACATAGATAATATAGTTTTGAAATTCATTTTTACTAATGCTGTGTTATCAATTGTTCGAAACTCGTGAATCCTCAAAATAAATGTGGAATTACTATTTAAAGAAAAAAAATACCTATATCCTTGCATTCTATGTAAAGAAGACAGAAAAGCAAAATGAATGATCAGATCCCGTGAACCGGAAAAAGACAGTATAAGGGTGACTGATCAGGAGTGCCTGATTCAGTTAGGTGCTTGCTGGGTCTTTAGTCAGGGTAGACCTTTCTAAAGATAATAATGTGACATTTAAACAACTTGAAGATGCTGAGAGGATTAGCCCTAGCAGTTCCTAAGGATAAGTGTTGTAGGCCAGTGCAAACACAGGAATATGCATGGTGTGTCCCCAAACACACATGCATATGGAGTGGCTGGAATCAAGCCTGCGAGACACAGGTGAAAGATTGTCAGCTTCATGGGGATGAGACCAGGCGTTCTTAGAGGATTTGGAGCTCAGGAGTGACTCATCCAACTGACAGTATTAAGGAATTTCATTGGCTACTATGTCAGTAGGCTGTTCTGCGTTAATGAAAGACAAGAGTTGTAGAGCAAAAGAGAGACGTTCAGTCCCAGAATACACAGCTGACAGCAGAGCTTATGCAGAGGGTCAGATACTAGGGGTGTTTGAAGCTCTGTCTGCTTGGCGTGATTGGATTTAAAGTTGTAAGGAAAGGGAGAGCATAGGTGTTTGGTGAGATGGTGGAAACATGGAATTACCCATTCTCAGATGGTGGAAGTCCTTGTGGGAGGGATAATTAAGAATTTATGTGTATTAAGTGAAAGGACAGCTGATGTAATGTGATTTTTAGGAGAGAGGCGAAGCCATAATGCAGATGTTTGCACGTTAGTTGTTCCAGGAAGTAATCATTGCAGGTGAATTAATTATTTTTTTTTCCTATCCACAATAGATCCCGGTAGCACCAGCTGTGCCTACAGTTAGTTTAGTCCCACCAACATTTCCTGTGTCAATGCCTGTTCCTCCCCCTGGATTCAGCCCCATACCTCCACCTCCTTTTCTGCGAGCAAGCTTTAACCCTTCGCAGCCACCTCCTGGTAAGTTGAGTTGTCACCATGTTTGGATGCTAATTAGGATATTGTTACAGTTGTTCCTTTTCTGGGCTAAGTACTGTGGAGTACTGACGTTTGAACTTTGGTGTACAGCAGAGTTGCCTGCAGAGCTCGTAAGTTACAGGCTGCTGCAGGCAGCCTCCAGGTCTGGGGTTTTTGTGACCCTCCAGAGTTTTTATTCCTAAAATATTCCCTTGGTGCAGATTTCTGGGACATAGCATTGTTAGATAAAAGAAATGAAATTCTTTAAAAATCATTGAAAATCATTGCTCTTCTATAGTAATGTTGAGTTAATGAATAATGTGAAATTAATTTTTTGAAGTTTTTATATGTTCATTTTTCTGTAATTATCACCCTTCCATCTGAAAATTTGAGTCGAATTCCATAAATTGTCCCTCCCCAATCATCAGATTTCTTTTTGACATTAGCATTTACATTTGAAATAATAATTGAATTTTTCTGAGTACTTTTTATGACATAAAGAATTGCTCCTTGAATCAGTTTTTCTGGTAAAAGCTACATTACTTAAATAACATATCTTAAGAAATACGTGTATATATTTTTGTGTGTGTGTATATACATATATAGAGATACAGCTTTTAGTGTTAGTGGAGGGTTAGGAGAATAGGGGAAAGATAGAAAAAATTAAGTTATGTTTTTTATTTATGTAGATTGCAGGATCAAAGAATTTTTTTCTTTGGACTGAGACATATTTTAAGAAATTTATTAGTGTATTATAGGTTAGCCACTGGGTGGAGTTTCAGAAAGCTTTCAATAAGACTGATAAAGTAATTGAGCATAGTTGTATTTGTTACTGTAATAATTTTTAAATTCTAGTTAGTACATTATTGGAAGTTGACACTGATTTTGATTTGTGATTTGAAAATTGCAATATCATACCTCACAGACTTTGTAAAGTCATTTTCTACCATACACTCATTAAAAAATCATGTACTTTTAGTCACTGTTAATTTGATTAAATGATGAGTTTATATGTAGTTTGACCATTTCATCTTGAAGAAAAGGGCAAGTGTTTGGTGTAGCCGTTAGAACATTGGGATGCTTGCTTCCCACCTGTATCATGGTACCTGCTTTGAGTCTTAACTTACCCTTGCAGTTCCAGCTTCCCGCTGCTGGGTGACCTGGGAGGCTCTTGGGGGGGGGTCCTGCCACCATGGGAGAGATCCCGACGGGATTCCTGGCTTTGGTCCAATGGACTGCTAGCTGTTGTTGGTGTTCGGGGAGTAAACTGGCAGATGAGAGGTCACACTGTGTGTCTCTGACTTTCATGTAAAAAGGAAATACATAAATCTAAGAAATCACATCACCAAAAAATCTTGTGTTAAATTAGAGATTTATTCCAGTATTCAAAGGAAAGCATTATCCAAGGTTAATGAAGAAATAATAAAGAAAATGTATTGACAGGTGACATGGAATTATTAGATTGAAATAAATATGTTTAACTCCCACAATATAACTTATATGTAGAATACCTGGTTAGTGTTAACCTGACTTTAGAGAAAGCCACAGGACTGAAATGAGAAAATAAATAGGATGTTCTCATGCTCTAAAGTCATGATGAAATATTAAAGTAATATGTGTAAAAGTCATTTTAAAGCCAAATACATGTTTACACTTCAGGTAGTGAAAGATCACCAGTGTATGTGTGATGATATTTCATTACTCTTTATTGTGCTGTTTTACTTTTGATCTTTTTCTCCATGTAGGTTTCATGCCACCGCCAGTTCCCCCACCCGTAGTACCACCCCCTGCAGTTCCACCAGTAGGACCAGCATGTGAGTTTTCTACTTTTTAGGATTGTTAAAGTTTGTGGTAGTATTAGTGTGTCAGTTTTCATTCTTACGAATTGTTAATTTTTTATTAGAAAAGTTTCAGGCAGATGCTTTCGTTGAATGCCCTCTAAAAAGACTGCTTTGTGTTAAGTTTTTATTAATATTTGCGTATTTCAAAATGCCTTTTCATAGTCAGCTATGCATTTTGTTTTGCTTTCTTTGAGTTCTTAATCTGCAGCAGTTCAGTCCCAGGTCCTGCTCTGGTCTGAGAAAGGAGCCGGAGTTCACAGCCCAGCTGCTGGGTTCTCATTTGGCTCTTGAGTTTGTATTGAGTGGAAATTTTCAGTGGACAGGTACAGGACAGATTTAATATAGCAGAACCTGTTCCTTGGCTGCTTTTATCTATACTATACTACTTCTAGTTTTCTAGACTTTAGACAAACCTTTAGTAATTTAAACAAACTTGTATCAAAAAATAGACATGGAAAAGTAGTGTACTTGATAAATTAGTGTCTTAACATTTAATAATTCCTTTTCCTTGTATTCTTAAGCACTTTTTTCTCTTGACATGTCAGATAGTATTAAAATGCTTCATTTTTTAAACTTTGTTAATTAGGAAGCATGGTTTGTACTGTAGAAGAAGTGTTCAAAAGCTATTTCTTAATTTACCATTCTGAGAGACTTATGGTAGAGCCCTAATCTCTTTCTTCCTATCTGTCAGCTTACGAGAAATGTGTTATTGTTTAATGGAGAAAGAAGTTCTGGCTTACCAAATCTTTTCTCATTTGCTGTGTCATTAATTGTCATCATATCTGTGTGCAGACACTGGTGGGTTTCTCTCTTTTAGAGAGAACAGTTTTGAGTTAACAGTTTGTCCAGGTTATCTAGGCATAAATTAGGTAAAACTTTTAATTATACAGTTGTTTCATATTCCTCTGCTTCTGTAAATGTGCAAAAATCATTAATATATATTGAGACACTCATCTGGCATTCCTAGATAATTATTTTCATATTAATGGAATTTATTAATTTCCTACCCTTATTTTTTCAATTTTGGTAAAATGATTCCTTCAGAAGTTGTTTTTTAAATTTTTCAGAAGAGAAGCTTTCTGAACATATTTTAACTTCTTTGTGACAATTTGACGTTTGGGATATAAGCGATATAATACACTTTGTAACACAGAGATGTCATGAAGTCTAACTCTCCAGCTGCTGGAAAACTTAGTGTGTGAATTAACTGACAAACCTGAAACATTTTCCTTCTTTTTCAACAGCTTTAGTGCATCCGCCATTGTCTATGACCCCAGAAACTGTGAAAGATGTTGGATTTGGTAGCCTTGTTTTACCAGGTGGTTCTGTTGCTGGTGGCCTTGCTCCTTCGACTCTGCCAGCCGGAAATGTTTTTAATCCCTCAACTAAGCAAGCTGAACCTGAAGAAAAAATACCTCATCTTATAGATCACCAGATCTCTTCTGCTGAAAACACCAGACCAGGTAAAGCCCAAAAACCTTACTAATACGTTAGGTAAACCATGAGACTTAGTTTACAGTGGAGTGTAGTTTGGGAAACAATGAATATCTGTAACCAGTAAACGTACAAGCCTTAACATATTGCAGCTTTTTGATTAGGAGTGCTGTGTCCTAAAAATATTCCTGAAAAGAAACCAGAACAGTTCTGTTCAGTTCTTTTCCATGGGACCTTCACCCCACACCTTTTTGCAGTTAGGTAAAAAATCAGCATGTATTGGATATGAGTAAGTTGTAGAAATGTCTATGATGTTATTTGGCAAGATCAGCATAAGTGAAGTAGTAATCGAATTTTTCAAAAAGATCATTATAGTGGAGTCAAAGGGTAAGTATTTTTTGGTAAAATTTTTTTAGGTCATTGATTCCAAAGATAGTGAAAATTGTGTATTGTGAGCAAACTGCATGACTTTTGAAAAAATTTTAGCACTAAAATAAGCATCTAGTCCTGATTTTCCATGGGTTTTTTAATTGTTTTAAAGTGTTTGAGACTTACGCCACTCCTGTTGGTATGTTGAGTTGTTGCAGGATGCGAGCGAGATCACACCAGACATGTCTAAGGTTTATTAAGGAATCTTTATTAACTAAGCTTGGTGATAATAGAGCACAATAGCAAATCCCCAGTCCATACGGCAATCCAACCAATCATAATCCAATGAATCATAATTCCCAAAGGAACAAATGGTCATTATCCTTAAGTTTATCCATTAAGCTGAAAACCTATGTCCCAGCTTCCCCAACAATACAAGTTATCCTAAGAACATGCAACGAATAACCTGAACACACTTACAAAGAACCTGGACACACTTCCAAAGCTGTAGACATTCACCTTTCCCTGGCTTCTCTGCCCACATTCCATCACTGCTAGGCCTCACCTCTCCGGGAACTCCAGATAGTACACAAAGCAGAAACAACATTATTATAACCATTGCCCCATCTAAGCAGCAAACAGGGACCATGCTCAGGAGATTACCTGTCCTGGGTCAGCCAAGAGTCGAGGTGCCAGAGTAATGAAAGCACCTGGCCAGAAAAAGAGAGAGAGCCCCCACTTCATGGGCCGTTTAAAGGAGCCTGTGAGGGGAGTGGTTACATGACAATGCAAAACTTCCCCTCTCAGTTGACAGGTGAGTCACAGGTGGGCAGGAGCGAATACCTAAGTGTTGTGGGCTAAGGAGTTGATTAGTGCTCGTTGGCATGGTCAGGAACAGGAACTGGGCTTGTAGCTAAAAAAAATACCTAGACTAATTGGACTTGTCTGCATCCAATATCCTGGCTAAATTAGGATGTGAGGGAAGTGGTTGAGGATGGAATTATCATTCTGTTGTTGTTAGGACCTAACCTCAGGACAGAGGGTAGGGGACACAGCCAAATTTCATTTGCCCACTGTCAATGGGTGCTGGCTATCACTGGCTGCACCCCATAATAGAGTTATACTTTAGAAAGTTTTTTTAAACATGAAAAATCAGTGTAAACCTTGACTTTTTTATTTAATTGAAAAGATTAGCAAGATTTGTGTAATATCCATATTCACATTTTAATATTTATACTTTGTCAAATTGAAACTTCAGCTCTGATTTTTCTTAGTATTTTTTGTTCTGTGATTCTTGAGAGATGTAAGTAGTTGATTAAAGCGTATATACATTAATAACTTTAAATGAACTTCTCACCAAAATCACTAATGCTGTTGTTTCTCCTTTTTCGTTTCAGTCATTCCAAATGATATTTCAAGTAATGCTGCAGTCTTAGGAGGACAGCCGCCTAATGTCACAAGCAATTCTGGAATTTTGGGAGTCCAAAGACCAAATGTATCGAGTAATTCTGAAATTCTTGGAGTCCGGCCATCTAATGTTTCCAGTACTTCTGGAATTATTGGGCCCCAGCCACCAAATATTCTGAATAACTCCGGGATCCTGGGGATTCAGCCTCCAACAGTTTCAAATAGTTCTGGACTTTTGGGGGTATTACCCCCAAATATGCCTAACAATCCTGGACTTGTAGGAGTACAGCCACCTGTTCCTAATACATCCGGACTTTTGGGAACACAGCCACCAGTTGGACCTCAAAATTTACCCCCTTTAAATATTCCCAATCAGAGGATGCCTGCAATGCCAATGTTAGATATTCGTCCAGGACTAATACCACAGGCCCCTGGACCCAGATTCCCTTTAATGCAACCTGGGCTCCCACCACAGCGGGGCATCCCTCCACCCTCAGTCCTTGATTCTGCCCTTCATCCACCACCTCGTGGAGCTTTTCCTCCAGGAGATATTTTCAGTCAGCCTGAAAGACCTTTCCTGCCTCCAGGAAGACAAAGTGTAGACAATGTTACTAACCCAGACAAAAGGCTACCCCTTGGGGGTGATAACATTCAACAGGAAGGAGATAGAGATTACCGCTTTCCTCCCCTAGAAACCAGGGAAAGCCTTAGTAGGCCGCCCCCAGTGGATGTCAGGGATGTAGTGGGCCGCCCCATGGATCCAAGAGAAGGTCCTGGAAGGCCTCCGTTAGATGGAAGAGATCATTTTGGAAGACCTCCTGTAGATATCAGAGAGAATCTTGTGAGGCCTGGAATAGATCACCTTGGCAGAAGAGATCACTTTGGTTTTAATCCAGAGAAGCCGTGGGGGCACAGAGATTTTGATGAGAGAGAGCATCGTGTTCTGCCTGTATTTGGTGGTCCCAAAGGCTTACATGAGGAACGAGGTCGGTTTCGGGCTGGAAGCTATCGCTTTGATCCGAGAAGTGGTCCTTGGAACAGGGGTTTTGGACAAGAAGTTCACAGAGATTTTGATGACCGCAGAAGACCCTGGGAGAGGCAGAGGGACAGGGATGACCGAGATCTGGATTTCTGCAGAGAAGTGAATGGAAATCGTCTTGGACGAGACAGAATTCAAAACACTTGGGCCCCACCTCATGCTCGGGTCTTTGATTATTTTGAAGGAGCCACTTCTCAACGAAAAGGTGATAACGTGCCTCAAATTAATGGGGAAAATACAGAGAGACATGCCCAGCCTCCGCCTTTACCAGTGCAGAGTGATCCTGAACTTTTTGAAAAACTGGCATCTTCAAGTGAGATAAGCAAGGAGAAGAGTGACACAGTTGCTGATGTAGAGAGTGACCCAGTGGTGGTAGAAAGCACAGAAACTGAGGGGACATAATCATCACTCAGTAGGTAAAAGATACCTTTTGTAAAGTTGTCATCTCTGTAATAGGTTAATGGCTGACTGGACCACGGTTGTTCACTTGTGTCTGCCAGAATTAAGTTAATATGATGTTGATGTTCACCTTTCTCTTAAAATAATTGTAAACTGACTTGTATAGACATTGTTCTTAATATGAACATGGTAGGTAAACATTTTTTAAAAACATTTTTCTGATAAAGTATAAATGTTGCCCCCAGATTCTTTTAACGTCGAGGAAATGAATAACAGCTTGTCAGAGACTTCCTATGGAAGAAAGAATTTTTTAGATACTATCATTAGGTTGGATATGGCGATAGATATATTTCAGAATAGCAAGTGGTGGTATATCTTAACCATATCTTTAGGCTGCTGCAGAATTTTAAGGTAATAGACAAAGCTGTGATTATTTTATGCAAAGACTGGCTCTAGATATTTGAGGAGCATAATACAGAGATTTTAAAAAGTGATTTTGTAAAATCAACACTATGGTCTCTGTCACTCCAAAGTAAGTGTTTGTGATTTGTTCCTCATACTTCAGTGAGTGAAAAAGAAAACGACAACATAAATATTAAAGTACATTTCAATGTTGGGTGAATTTTGTTTTTAGCTGCCAATAAAACTTATTTGTTTGATAACAGTGTTCTAGGAATTGTATTTTTTTTAACACAAATTTTAAAATCCCTGGATCCTTAGTAGCATGCACTTAGTTGTCAACGTTTCCTGTTGCTCATATCACAGCAGTGAAGAGCTGCCTGGTGGGAAGGCATGCCCTTGGATGCAGTTCATTAGTGTGTGTGTAATCCTACAGGGATTTTTGTGTGAGTCCTAGGTAGCTTTTCTGCTTCTCTGTCTTCGTGTACGTACAGAGAAAAGCAGAAATTTATAAAATATTTGTTAGTTTAGATAATAAACTTTAAAACCTGATAAAAAATATTGGACAGATGTGGCCAGTTAAGGTAGCTTTTAGTCTCGATGAAGGCACAGTATGAAATGCTGTGAAGAAGTGACAGTGGCACTCTGACAGGTTTCTTAGATAGTTAAGCATGAGGTGGGGGTGGCTTCGGAGGACAGGACTGAGTGCCCAGGACTGTGTGTCCCTCGAGTGTCTGTAGGCTTGGGAACACTCTTGAGATTAGTCTCCGAGACAAACTAAGTGGAAAGATGGGGTTAGTTTTCTGTTTGTCTCTGTTTTAATTTTCATTTATTTGCTGTTTAGTTTGTGTATACGGTATTTACTTACATATAAAATCTTTGGTTCTTTTCATTCATTTGCAGTGAAAGATTTCCATTTGGTTCTTTCTATGAATAGTCCTTTGCTTCTTATGCATTTACAACATTATATCATTTGCTCTGTTTTAGTGAAATTCCTAAGCTGTATATTTGTCAGACCTCCCAAAAAAATGATTTAAAAAAAAGTCCCTGCCATTTGCAGCTGGGTTGATATTGCTTCCCTCTGATGGTCTAGAGGGGTGTACAGGTTTTAAGGTTGCTGGCCCAAAATACATCTTCTCCCTGCGGGTTCAGAATAGAGGTAGTATGTTTCTGTTATTTGGAAAGGTAGGCAGAAGTGGCAGTTTTGGTGTTTCTTTCCATTCAGTTTTTGAGTTTCAGGTTCTTTCCTGAGGGTGACAGCTGTACAGTGTATTGATGTTCCGGAAACTGTGGCCGTAACTTTAAGGAAATAATACTAGGATTCCTCTCATACTACTTCAGTTGCATTTGCCATTATTAAACTGAAGGGACATGCCCTTGGATTAAGTAGCAACAGCATGTGAGATTTTCAGTAGTTTTACAGGCTGCAGGATTCAAGTGCTAAGAATCACCTCATTGGTTATTGGAGCTGGGTCAAGAGACTCAGTGAAATGGCTGATAAGAAATCCTGTGCTTGCTCTTGCTTTGTTATTGTTTTGCTTTGGTGTCTAAGTGAAAGGAGATTATTCAGTTAATCAGTTCAGTTTAGATGAATTCTTCTCACTGAATAATTACATTCACTGGTTTTTTAAATGGTAATAGTATTGCCTTATTTTGAGATGCTTATCATAGAACCCAAGACATCTTTATTTTACTCGTGTATGTGAAAGGCAGAGTGACAGAGATGGAGATCTTCTATCTGCTGATTCACTAGTTGCTGCAAGAGCTCCGTCCTGGTCTCCTTCCCGGGCACAGTACCACATGGCGGCATGGTGTACCAACCGTGCCAGACTGTTGAAGCCACTTACATGTTAGTAAGGAGGAACCATTACAACACGATGGTCTAAGATATGGGGCAGTACTACAGTAGACACCAAATCACATTGTGTACATTTGTGACACATTAAAGAGTAAGACTTTCTGCAGTACTAGCAAACTGAGCCACTTGCTTGAAACTGGCTTTTGAGTGTCCACAAATATTTTGTTAAACTTTGGCTTTTTTGTTTTTTTGTTTTTTTGAGAATAACTTAGAATAATATATAATATATACTATAATTGGCCATTCTGTGTTGTACATAGAAACTTACTTTACAAAAAACTAATCTTTATCCATACCGTGTATGGAGAATGCACCTTTATTCTAATTAGATTTTAGTTTAGAATAGAAAAATATTTTTGAAATTGCGAAATATAGGAACAGTATGAAATTATTTAAAATTCTAGAAGTAGCTTCATGCAGTATTTCACTGAAAATACTCATTAAAAGCTGGTGGGTGTAATTACTTCATGAAGCTTCCTTACTGTTTCTTGCATCTAGAAGATTATTCCTGAAGTCACACATTCAGGGTTATTTTGGAAATTGAGGGGAATGCTGTTACACTTTAGAAATTGTCTTTTTTGTTTGAAGAATGAAAAAGATCTTAAACACTGCATTTCATTGGAGAGCTATTGCCTGAGAGCAACACCATTCAGAAATGCAAAATGCTTCTGCTACCACATGCCTGGAGTCGTACGATACATCCCTAAGTCAGAGACGCTGATATTCAGAATATCCTGAAATAGGAAATTTGCTGAACTTTGTCCGTGCAGTTATTTGAGACTAAATGATTATTACTCGTCTGAATTTTTGGGTGTGTGTGTGTATATATATATTTTTTATATATATATATGGCCTTATTGAACAGTTTAGAAAATATTGAACTAAAACAATGCTGTAGTTATGTGCCTTCATTTAAGATTTATTTATTTTTGTTGGAAATCAGATTTACAGAGAGGAGACACAAAAAGAAAGTTCTTCATCCTCGGCTTCATTCCCCAAGTAGCCACAACGGCTGGAGCTGAGTCCGTCCAAAGCCAAGGACTTTTTCCTAATCTCCCTCTTAGGCCCAGGATCCCAAGGCTTTGGGGCATCTTCTGCTGCTTTCGCAGGCCACAACCTGGGCTTGGTGGGGAGTGGAGCACCCAGGACACGAACAGAGCCATATGGGATCCCATTCCTTGTAGCAGTAGTATTTGCCAATTGATTATTTGCCAGTTGAGCCAATCATGTTGTAACAGTTAAAGCTGCTACCTGATTATGTGGATGCCAAATCCAGCTCCCTGCTAATGTGCCTGGAAACCAGCGAAGGACTTCCTGAGTGGCCTGGGAATCTGTACCTTGTGAGAGACGGAAGCAGCTCCTGGCTCGTGGCTTAGGCAGTGGCCCAGCACCTGCTGTTGTAACCGTTTGGGGAATATGGTCATAGATGAAAGATCTCTCTTTATCTGTGACTGACTCTGCCTTTCAAGTAAATAAAAATTTTTAATTAAAAATAAACATAATGTTCTAAATTAGTCTGAGTGATCAAGTACTGGGGAACCAAACTTTAAACAGGGATATATAGTGAAAGCATTTTGAAATACTGGGGTTATGAATCAGAAATTGTATTAATAGCCACTTGAGTAGCTGTGAAGGTTGTTGGAGAGAGCAGTGATGGTCGCAGTCTGCTACACTCTCCTAGGCTAATACCTTGTGTCTGAATTACATACATATATGCACTTTTGGGGGTGTAGGATTTCTTTTAAATCACCATACACCACCGTTGAGATGTATTAAGATATGTATATATTCAGTATACATTTAATATTCTTAAAAATTTTAGGTAGGCAGAATCATTTCTTACGTTTGAACATAAGTTAATTGTAACATTTGGTATTGAGAGATGGTTAAAAATTGGAAAAGTGAGTTTCAGAGTTTCAATTCAGTTGTTAATTTGAACTTTCACAATGACAAAGACTAGCAGGAAGCATGTTAAGAAGCTCTGTAGAAGTTTTGATTTAAGCAGAAGTTGACTAGCATCCTTCCTGCACAAGTTGATCATGCAATTAAATGCTTTGATTATAGAAACATCCCTTTTGGGACAAAATTGTGTTCAAGAAGTTATGTAGTACCATTCATGGGACTTCTTACAAGTGGGTTGCACATCAGAACTAACATGAAATGGTAGTTTATTTGGGCACGAGCATTGTTGAGCTGTTTCTCTTCTTCTCTAACTAAATATTCTCTTCCTTTTCATCCAGTATGCCTTGTTCTAAATTGAAGAGATAAAGCAAATATTACATTGTCATGTTGTGAGGGGTTAGAATTGTGCAGATGGACTGATTTCCTGTTGTGAGAGGTGTAGCTGCATCAGGCAGTGGTCCCTGTGCCTTTGTGGAGTGCCGGGGATGACTCAGTGTTAGTCATTCTGCAGAAGCCACCCCGAGACCAAGAGCTGGATGCTCAGGGCCCTGCTGTGTGGGATGACATGATATTTGTGTATGACCTGGGCCTACCTTCTCATATATTTAAACCATTTCTGCATTATTTTTAGTCTCAAATACAAAGTAAATGCAGTGTGGATAGTTTTTTCTTGTATGTTTTTTGAGGGAATGATGACAAAAATATCTACATGCTGACTGAGAAATGAAAATACACTTCCCTCCCCAATATTTTCAGTTTGTGGCCAGTTGAACCTGTGGATGCAGAGGCCAGAACATGAAGCCAGTTGAATAGCACTTGGTTGTCCAGTGCTTTTTGCTGCACCGCCCCGTCCC